CGCTCCGAATTCCCCAGTCTTCCCAAGTCTGCTGTTGCTTCATTTATTTCTTTTCCTGATTACATGTTGGGTGCCAAAAGAAGGTGTTTGAAAGCACGCTGGGATTGTGAACAGCCATTCCCTAAGGACAGATTAACTCAAGGTGCATGTGCAGGATGGTTCACACGTTATCAAGTGCAGTAGCCAGGGAGGAGGGAGCATGGGTTTGCAGAGATTCATTATTCCTTTGGGGGGATAAATAATCCATTCTAGATTCATTTTTCTTTGCCCTGTCTGTGGATGACTCTAACTCAATTATGAATAGCTGAGGATGATGTTCCAGTTAATCGTCGCGTGTCTTTCCCCAAAGGCTTCCCTGGTTCATTCTCCACATTTCATTCTCTAGACAAGAGGAAATAAAAGGAAAAATGGAATTTTAGTTTCAGCCTTTCAAGAGTGCTGCAGGTCTGGGTGGTTGGAGTTCTACTTTTAGACAGCAAGTCTGCAATTTTCTGTCAGTGTAAGGGTTTTGTCCCCCAGCTCTTGGGTATTTATTGGGTTTGGCACATCTGTATGCGTATGTTAGCTGTTTGGGGTTTACATCTCTGGAGAATAAAGGATTATGATTTTTTTTTTCCTGTATAAAATGCCACTTTTTATGGGTTTTGGCTGAGGTGTAATTCTGGCTGTGTGTCAGAGTGTGACACTAAAATGAATTCAATGCTTACTGATGTTCAGTGTTTTCTGTACAAAGCCCCAGTGGCTGGGAGGGATCTCACCCAAACCACGCCAGCCCCAGGGCTCTCTGCTGCCTCTCTGCTCTGCTCTGTCCTGCAGTTTCTTTCTCTTCTGGCTTTTCCACCTTATGCTGCTCCAGCAAGCGACTCTCCACCAGCAGCATCTGCATTCGCAGCAGCTCCCTGCACTGTGCTGCCGGCTCAGCACAGCTGCCTTGGTGCCCCTAAATTATCGGATGGTTCTGATGACTTTTAACTGCTGGAGGGATTTCTGTGAGAGCCTCATTTTTCCTTTGACATGAAGAGGTAGTGCCTTTTTTCCACACGATGCATGACGCTGGAAGAGTTTCTTTCGCTTGGAGAATTAATGACTCATTTGCTTTTCTCCTGCTGCTCCTGCCCCCTCCGCCCTTGGGCAGCCTGTGCCGGGCGACACGGGTGTTTATTTCTTTCACCAGATTTACAGTGTGACTCTGAGCATCCCAGTGCCAATGTCCAAGTCTCCACAAGCCTTTCCCTGGCGGCAGATGGGTGGTGGCAGACACGGGGGCTGTTCAGCAGCATCAAGCCGCGGCTCTGCTGTGCTCAGGAAAATGAGCTGGAGCGTTTGTCTTTGGGCTGTGGCAGAAGAGGCTGTGGCAGAACATGTTCTTCTGTGTGCCTGCTCTGCTGGGGCTGTTTACACCAAATAGTGCTACTGGCACCCAAAATTCTTAGATTAAAGCATGTGCTCATTCCCTTCTCTTAGCCAAAGGAGCTCCACCGATCCCAAGCTGCAGTCCAGGTGGGCTCCAGTACTTTTCCAGACTTGCTTTTGTGAGCACAAAGGTGTCTGAGGGTGTTGGAGACCTGGGACCACTGCCAGTAGGTCCCTGCTGGGAGTGGGACCTGGCTGGACTCCCTGGGCCCTTACCTGGGCTACAGGGTCACCAGGACCAAAGTACCACAGTTTCATGGAATCATGGAATAGTTCAGGTTGGAAGGGACCTTAAAGCTCATCCAGTGCCAACCCCTGTCACAGGCAGGGATGCCTTCTGCTAGACCAGGTTGCTCCAAGCCCCATCCAACCTGGCACTGCCAGGGATGGGGCAGTCGCAGCTTCTCTGGGCACCCTGTGCCAGCGCCTCAACACCCTCACAGGGAAGAGCTTCTGCCTAAGAGCTCAGCTCAGTCTCCCCTCTGGCAGGTTAAAGCCATTCCTCTTGTCCTGTCCCTACGGGCCCTTTTCCAAAGCCCCTCTCCAGGTTTCCTGCAGCCCCTTTAGGCACTGGAGCTGCTCCAAGGTCTCCCCTTCAGGAGCCTTCTCTTCTTCAGGCTGACCCAGCCCAGCTCTCCCAGCCTGGCTCCAGAGCAGAGCTGCTCCAGCCCTCACAGCATCTCCATGGCCTCCTCTGGACTCGCTCCAACAGCTCCATGTCCCTCTTGTGTTGCTTCCCCAGAGTTGGATCAGGACTGCAGGGGGGTCTCCCCAGAGCACAGCAGAGGGGGAGAATCCCCTCCCTCAACCTGCTGCTCACGCTCTGGGGATGCAGCCCACACGGGGGGAGATTCTGCTCTCAAGCGCGCACTGCCAGGCCATGGGGAGCTTCTTGTCAGCCAACACCTCCAAATCTTCTCCTTGGGGCTGCTCTCAATCCAATCTCCCTGTGATCAGGCCCCTGGGAAGCTGTGGTGCCTTCCCATTCCCAGCAGGACATGGGGAGCCCATGGGGCTGCCATCAGGCTCTGAATCCTGCAGGGAGAGTAAATACCAGCCTTTGGTACTTGCAGCACACAGAGCTTCCTGGATCCCTGGGAAAATCTTGGCTCGTGGCTCAGTGGTTCACAGGGTGGTGGCAGCAGGGCTGTAAAATCCGATCAAAAGGGCCACTTCAGCCATGTGCCGTCAGCATTCATCCCTGCAGCAGAGCCACTCCCAGGGCTCCCTCCCATCAATCCCATTGCTTGGAAGCATTGCTGTGACTCCGGTGCCTGGCGAGTTCTTGGTCTGCGTCACAGGGAACAGCCTGGCATTTCCCATCGTTTGGAAATAGTTTTCCATCGTTATCAAATAACACAGGATCCCTCTGATTTGCTTCCCCCCCGCCCGCAGTGGCAGCCCCCTGCACCACATCAATGTGCCTATTGTTCCACTGCTGATTAAACCAAGTGCACCCAGCCTGGTGGAAAGTCCTTTATGGAAGGAGGCTCTTGATAAGATACTGGAATCTGGTCTGTCCCGGCTGTGCACGGACAGTTAAAAAGTAAATAACATGGACAAACAGGCTGTGATGTACAGGCGGGGGAAGAGATTTCCAGTGCCATCCAGGAATGCGCAGATAGGTACGGTTTGAGAGGCTCAAGAAGACATGGGCTTTCTGAGGGGGCAGAGTACATGTGCCTTAGAAGCAGGGCCCCTGTATGCAGTGGATATCGATAGCATTTTAGTTATTGAGTAGTTAAAGTTACGGGTGAACATTTCCTTTTTGTCCTAGCAGGCAAATTTACAGCTCTAGATGGTGGTGGTGTGGGAGATCCTCGGGTCTGAGCCCCCTTGCGTGCTCTAACACCTCCACTTCACCTGCCAAGGCCAGAAATGAGAGTTTGGAAGGGCACAAAACATTGTCCTTTGTACCAAGCCAGGCCAGAGTGGGAGGGTTTTGGCTAGTAAATAGCAGCAAGACTTCCAGAAGCCAGTGCAGCTCTGCTCATCCCCGGCTGCCGCTCCCCAGCACTGGATCCCTCAGACCCAGACACTAATCCCCATGGGAGCAGCCATGGGGACACCCACAGCCCACAGAGGTGGCTGCTGGGAGGTGCCGCAAGTTCCCCCCATTCCTAAATTGCACAACTCAGTTGTTGGCAGCGTGATTTTGAGCCCAGGAGCTGCACAACAGCTCTGAAATGATGATGGTGTTCATCTGGAAACTGCTCTAGCGCCTTCTGAGGCATCTAATTTCATAAAGAGCTTTTATGGGAGATTTTGGAGCGAGGAGCAAGCAGCTTTCCCATTGCTCCCGGAGACCAGAATCTCTCTTTTTTGGGGATGCATTTAAATCAAAAGGAAGAAAACACCTGCCCAGCACATTTGCTCAGACCCCAAAGATTTCAGTCAAAACCTTTTAATGTTCTTTTTCTTTCCATCTGCATTTTTCAGCAAAGACAAACAGCCTCATAGTATTTCTTCAAAGGAATGTAAATTCCTTGAGGAAGTCTCCGGAGTTCCCAGCACTGCATAGCTGCAAACCACAGACGCCTACGGCTGAAAACTCTGCTCTGCTTTTAATTTTGGGGCAGGGAAGGAATTCTTTTCAGGGGTTTGGGTTCACTTGTGCTGGGCCCGTCGGGCCAGACTGCTTGTTACTGCACAGGGGAGTGTTGACTTTGGCTGGCTGCAGGCAGGCGCTTTCCCTCCGCAAGAGTATTCCCCCACCGAATCTGATGACATGGCGCAATTATTTCATTCGGGTTGTCCAAAAAAGGTTCCCTCGCTCTCCTCTGGTGCTAGAAAAAAACCTTTTTCCTCTGTTTTCTTATTTCAGCTTCAGCAGTTTTGCCTGAAAAAGACAATTAAGGGTGGCAGCGCTGCTGCCTGAATCTGAGTCCTTGGTACGGGGCGGTGAGAAGGAGCAACATGGGGAGGAAAACCGAGTTTTGAAGGGTGTTATTCACTGCTATACCTGTCACTGCTGGCATTAACCACTGGCCTGTCTGCAGCCAGCGGAAGTGCCCAGGCAGACAGTGGCCTGGTCTCAGCAAAACCGCTTCACTTAATAAATCTGGCTGCAGCACATGGAAATTGCTGACAATTCCGGGTTGCTTTTCTGCACCCTCCATCCCAGGCAGTTGTGACACTCAGTCCGGGGGGCCTGGGGGCGTTAACCTGGCTGCCAAAACCCACGGGGGACCCTTGTTGTTGGGGAAATCTTCATGTTGGAGGTGGGGACAGCCCAGCAGGAGCAGCAGTTGGAGCTAGCTCTTTCTGTGCTCCTCAAAATCAGTGGTGGCATAGGAATGGACAGCGCATCAGGTCAATAGGTTGGACTATAGGGCAGCCTGTCGGGAGCTGATTTGGCCACTTCCATGTGGCTGGGGATGAGAGTGAGGGCGCAGTGCCCTGCCAGGGATGCTGTCTTGGGATACAGAGATGGGAGCACAGGGACAGGACGGGAACACCGGGAGAGAACAAGGACCCGGTGGGATACGGGATGGGGCGCTAGGTAGGCCCCGCCCCCTGGCCATGCCCCACCCCCGGGCGCTGGCCCCGCCCGTCCCGCCGCCGCCCGGGCCCGCAGTCTCAGCGGAGCGGCGCGGGGCAGGCGGTTCGGTCATGGTGGGTCGGCTCAGCCTGCGGGAGGTGCCCGACCTCCCGGACATGAGGAAGCGGGGCGACGCGGGGCTCGACAGCCCCGACTCCGGGCTGCCCCCCAGCCCCGGGCCCGCTCCATCGCCCTGGCTCCTCTCCTCGGGCAGCCCCGACCGCGCCGCGACCAACGGGCTGCCGGAGCCCGACCCGCCCGCGCCTGCCGCCGTGGTGAGTACCGGCACCGGCCGCCCCTGCACCCTGTCCTGCGGCGCCGGCGGGACCCTCCGCCCGGGACTGCAGCACGGAGCGGGACCCGCACCCCCGGGCACCCGCTGTCGCCGGCCCCGGGCTCGGTCCCGCTGCGGCAGGTGCTGGGCCCTGCGCCCCGGGGCTGCCGCCGCTGCCCTTCGTTCCCTGCCGAGAGGTATCGCCGGGGGGCCCCTTCTCCACCCCCAGCGCTCCAGGCCCCGCAGCATCCTTTGAGGAAAGGAGGGTGGAAAACCGGCGCTGGGGCTCCGGGAGTGGGGCTGAGGGCAGCTTGGGAAAATTGCCCCGCGTTTCCCTCCCTTCCACCGGCGTCTCCAGCTGCTGCCTTATCCCTTAACGCGCACACACCGGGAGGGAGCCCGCCGGGAGCCGTGGTGTCCACACCAAGGGCTGGGGCTGTGTTGTGTCAGGGGAACAGGTGGTGCTTTTAAAAATCACCGGCTTTGAGGTCGGTTCTTGCTAATCAAAGGGAAGCCCAAACTTTCCTGACCCAGGTAGGGGGTGGGACAGCATCGCAGCACATCTTTGAAGATCCCACAGGAAAATGAACTCTCATTATTCCAAAGAGTGACCCAGAGTAGGAAGTTTCTATGTTAACTTTTGGCTTCAGTTGATAGTATCAGATAGAGATGTGCTAGTTTTTCACAAAACCATTTTTAGATGTTGATGCTGAGAGGCTGGTATGAATACTTTGGAAACTGCAGGTCAGAGGAAACATCCCTTTTCTGCAGGGATGCTGCCACAGGATTGGAAAAGGCCATGGGAGAGCCATGTGTTGAGCAGGAGGGATTCCCATAGCCCCCAGGCCCTATTTAGGAAACCAGAGGTGGTTTCAAAAAGGCCTCTTTAGGGCTGCTTTTGTTCCCTTCTGGCTGTGGGGCAGTGCTGGGCCAGTGTCAGCTTGAGGTGCTGCCTGTCCAGGAGAGGAGCACAGGGATGCTCTGTGCGTTGCCACTCGGTGGGAATGAGTTAATCCTGTCCAATGGGTTGCGAGTGAACTAGGTTGGATTTAATGCCTTCAAATAGTAGCCATGGAGTAGCTATGAAACAAGGAGTTGCTCCCAGCGGGATGCCCTGCAATAATTTCCTTCTGTGATCTGCCCATGGGTGTATCTGATGACTGCAGCAAGGAGGGTGCGCTCGTACGCTCGTATAATGTTAGCTATAAATTGAAGGTGAGCTCATCCAGCCAGTGGGCTATAGTTCATGCTGAATGAAGCTGTGCTGCACTGAGGGGCTGTATTCCTCTCTCATTGCCCAGAATGGTTCCTCTGAAGTAAGATCCTGGAGTTAGGACTTCAAAAAATACACCTTGCCACATCGTTGCTGCTATAGATCAGTACCAAGTGAGACCTGCAGGTTGCAACTGTAGGCATGTCTTCGACTACCAGATCCTCTTGCGTGTAAATGTGAACCTTGACAGCTCTGTACCAAGGGCTAAATAAATACATTTTATTGAGAATATACTGAATTGTAACATAAAAGAGGTTATTTTTGCATTTCTTTTCAGAACTCTGTGTTCTCCCCCAGCCCTGTTCTCTCCAGCTGCCCTCCAAGATTGTGTCCTTTATCATTTGGCGAAGGAGTTGAGTTTGACCCTTTACCACCAAAGGAAATAAGGTAAATGCTGTGTTACAGCCGTCTAGTTTTGAAGGAGTTAGCATGTAAAGGAGCAGTTAGGCCTTATCAGTGCCTGTGAGTCAAGTTCATTTATTTGCAGAGCTATTGTTCCATGCAGCTGTATGTTCCTGGACATTTGTACAGGCTGAAGGAGTGTTCAGCCTCTTTTAATCCCATATGGGTTTTGTTGGTTTTTTTTTTGGAAGACTTTCCTATATTTTACTGTCCAGTTTTTCCTTCATTGCACTGCTCCAAAATGTTGTCTTTCAACCAATTAACCAGAAGGTAATCATGATGGAAGATCTTCAAAGCAGCCTTCTTTCTAGGAGTGTTTTATTAGGGGACAGGAATTTTGCTCTCGTAACCTCATAGTTTTATAATAAGCACTTTCTACCTTATCAGCTGTGGCTGGTTTATGAACTAAGAGAAAAGTTGATATTGAGAGTACATAATTGCTGGGTTTTTTAATGTGCTGCATCACAGCATGTGAATTATTCCTTTCAATGTGGTGATTTGCAGTAACAAGAAATGAAGGCTCCCAGTTGATCCCTGTGCAAGCAGAGATAGACAGGTGCAATCAAATGGAAGCCTGATGCAGGGGAGGGTAGAAGGAGAGGATGCTCTGGTGTGGGTAAAAGGAGCCTGTGCTGGGGCTGGAATTCAAGGCAGCCAACACTGTGGAAAAGCTAACACAGAGTTGTTGCAGTGTGAAGGAGATGAAAACTTTGTTCTGCAATCTAGCACAGAAGATTTTCTTGCCAGTGGAGTTTGATGTGTAAACTGTAGCATTTTCCTTCCAGTTGAATCTCTAGAAGTTTGCCTTCAGAGAGCGCCCCATGCTGTGAGCAATCCCAGAGAACCCCTATGTGGCTCTTGCCAGAGGGTAACTGGGAAAATAACATGTGCTGCCATGGACTTGGCACTCTGAGGAATGAGGATGCTCATGTGCAAAAACTAAATGTGGATGTAGGCCTCCGGGTTTAGTCATTGGCGTTTGAATGAGGTTCTTAGGCTCATAGAGCTGAGGCTTAAAACAGCAGACGCAAGGATTGAGATGATATTTGGTAGTACTGGCAGCTGGACAAAACAGGGACAAAGCTGGGTGTGCTGATAATGAAAGGCTTTTTCTTCCCATAAATGAGTGAGACGGGAGCAGAACAATGTGATGTGGCTGTTCCTGTGTTGAGGTGGTAGGTGTAAGGCTGAGGAGCCACCCCACCTGATGGCTCAGCTTTGCAGACAAAGCAGCCTGCTGCTCTGGAGCAGAGCTCACACACGTCTCTCTGTTGTATTTCAGGTACACATCCTCGGTTAAATATGACTCGGAGAAGCACTTCATCGATGACATCTATATGCCAGTGGGCTTAAGCGTGTCCTCTTGCAGTCAGACAGTCATCTGTGTCCCAAACTGCACATGGCGCAATTACAAAGTCGAGGTCCACTTTGAGCCCCGCAACAAGCCCCAGCGTTTCACCAGCACCACGATCATCTACCCGAAGCACGCCAAGACTGTGTACACCACCACGCTGGATTACAACTGTCGTAAGACCACGCGGCGGTTCCTCTCCAGCATAGAGCTGGAAACTTCAGAATACCTTGGGAACGACTGCGTCCTGGATGGTTGCTGACTGACAGCTGTCTCTCTTGATCTGATCCATCTCGGTCCCATCTAATGTACTGTGCTAACTCCACTAGCTAAAGCGGGTACAGACCCTCTTTCTCAGCTCTTAATTCCTGCTTTAAGCATCAGAATGGCCTGAACGCGGTTTTCTGTGGGAACATAACTTAGTAAGGAACTTGTTTGTTCACCTTTAAAGTCATGAGTTCCCTCCCCTTCCCCACAGTGCAGTAATCAGATGAAAATAATGGGAAGTATTTTCCCAGAGAAAATATTGACAGGTAAGAAAGAATGTGGAATAGTACCTGGCAGGTGGAAATCCATTTGATGTTTTGTGGTGATGTGCAAAAATAAGGGTGATTTGCTCTCTTGTAGGGAATCTACCAGGTTATTTGGTTACAGATAGCCAGAGCTGTCCTTCATTTCAGTTCAGATCATGAGACTGTTTTCTCTAGAACCACCTCCTGGAAATTGCTGGAAAAAACTAACACAGAAAAATCTAGAATTCTGCAGTTTAAAATGTTAGCCTATGGCAGTCATGTCCAGTTGGAAGGTGTGAGTTGGAAAGAAAAGGAGTTCTGAGTAGAGCAGGAGATAAACTGCTTTTGCAGCTCCAGTCAGCAAGGAAAGGATCAGGTAATTCAAGTGCTATAGGGGAATGGTGTATCTTCTGTTCTTACAACAACTTCTGCAGCGCTGTAGTCCGTGTAACATGCTGGCATTTCTGTGCATGTAGTAGGAGTTGTAATGAAGAATATCAGGCCAAAGATTATCCCTGTATTGTTGGAAAGTCGGGTCTTGACAATATAGTGGTGGAAAACCAGAGGTGCCTAGTTTTTACCAACATTGTACTGTCTGTGCTGAGGGAGTTGTAACTAGGAGTTGGAAAATGCATGGTGTATACAGGGATCTAGAATGGAGGAGATGCTGGGATCAGTGTGAGACGCTGTCATGGTGAGGGTTGTGAAGAATTAGAAGGTAGCAAAGGACAGGCAGATTTTCATTGCATACTAAAATCCACAGCTGTAGCTCTGCTTCCCCACTGAGCTTCTCATTGCAAAGGTCCATGTCCTCTCTGGACTTTGGTATTCAGGATGTTACTGGGATGGGGCAGCATCTGCCTGTCTGTAGGCTGCTGAATAGCCCCTCCAGTCCCAAGTGCATGATGAGATTGGGGACCAAAGGGAATAACTTCAGATACTATGAAAGTCCATCTGGATATTATGTGCGTTAGTTTATCATGTGCTTTAATGAAAATAAATTGGAGAGATTTCTTACTTTACCCAGTTTGTTCTTCCTATGTTACAGGGAGCAATGTAGTGTGGAGAGCATCTGCTTTTGAGAGCATGGGCTAGTGTTGGCTATGTTGGTGGCTAGTGTGGTGTAGCCGCTCGGAAACAGTTGGTAGACTTGATCTGGCTAGACAAGGCTTTTCCATGTATTCCAAAGCTCCTCTGAGGTGTCGGTAACCTTGTGGTATAATATCATCAGCCCTGGACCTGCTTTTAAAGAGGACTTTGCTAATGCATAGCCCCAAGGGTGACTTTTGTCAGTGGTGAGTTTGAAACTCAGGAGCCTATTCTTGAGCTGTAGTTAACGTGTTTGTGCAAGTGTGGTGAATGGTGTGGAAGTGCACTTGAGTGGGAGCTGAAATGATTTGGGAGATTAAAATGCAGCAGGAAGGCAGGTTTGTGTGATTTGGTTCTTTTGTAGTTTTGTTTTGCTTTTTTACTTATTTATTAGCTCAGAACAGAATGTCCTTAATCTTTGGTACATGCCTCAGAAAACCAGATCCTAGAACAATCCCAGGGTGACAAAGGTTGCCAAAGTCAGGTAGGCCTTGCTCCAGAGTGGGTAAGAGCAGCACTGTCTTCTCACTAAACATGTTGGGTTTGGACTCCAGTGTTTAGGAAATGTGTCTTAAATACCCGTGTTGCAGTTCTCCCCCAAACATTGCCCCAGGATGTACTTGCTGTGTAGCAGAAGGCACAACTCAAGCCCTATGCGTGTGGGATTTCAAAGGGACAGAACTCCTTTGGGAAAGCTATTGCAGCATTGCTCGCTTGGCAGTTCCATGTACCTTGCTCCTGAAACATCTGGTGCTGGCCACTGTTGGACACAGGATGCTGGAAGAACACGGATCCTGGATTGCTCCGACAACGCTCTTCAAATGAATTCATTTGCAAGAGATCTAAGAGAGGATTATTTTAAGTTGTAATCATTAATTGTCTCTAGTTAGAAATGAACTGACCCTTACATATGGTTTTAGGATAAAGCACCTGATTTTTATACAGCAAACAAACTTAATTATGTACCTCTTAAAAACATTTTAATTGGTAGAGATACCTTTTAAATTATTTATGTCCCAGCATTTGCAAAGCTCTGATTAGCTCCGTGCAAGTGTTCTGATGTCTGTGACGTTTCCCACCCCTTCCTTCTAATTTTCCATTTGTCTTTTACTTTATTGTTAATAAATGATCTGAAAACCATCATATAGGGAAGTCTCTTTATTTTTCATTCACAGCTTCAGTGTTTATTATAGTATTTACTTAGAAATAAATATATAATATATCCTGCCCATCCCAGCTCCCCTTTTGTTTCCCTTATGTGTTACTGTTGTTCAGATATTCTAGGAAGGCGTTTCCTGTATAAAACTGTATTAAAAAAGAATCAAAACACCACCTAATGTTGTGGGCATATCACTTTAAGACGTTAAAAAAGTGGCTTGAAGACAGCTGAAAATCCTCTCCAGTGTGTATTTGACTTGTTCATTTGGTATACTTTTATTTTTAAAGAGTTTCTAGTGTGGATTTCAGCATATCTTACAAGTGAAGCACTTGCCCTTTTCCAATACAACAGGTATTCAACCAGGCAGGAATTTCTTTTTAATTATGGTTAAAAATGTAGATGCTCAATGTCAGATAATTTAATAGATTAGAAAGTACAGCGTAAAATAAGGCTGGAATGTGTTCTTCATTAAACTTCATAAAAACAAAATAGTTACAAACTACTGTTTTGAGGGAAGTGCTGTAGTATTTGGATGCTTAATCTGTTCTTTAATCCTTTCCAAATTTGCAGGCGTGCTGATTTTGTTTGTATCTCTGGCAGAGTAGAACTGAACATCAGTTAATTAATTCTTAATTGGATTTTTTTTTTTGCTTACTTTTATTGTTCATCTGGTTATCTGCTTGCAAAAGCTCTAGGTTTGCGTGTAATGACATTATTGGAATCTAGGGAGCTCTGAAGCTATTCTAAACCATGGCTCTGCTCCTGCAGAAGTCTGTGCAAGCATTTGAGTGTCATGCAGTGTTTAAAGTATTAAACAGGAGAAAAAGATGTATCTAAACGTGAATTGCTGTATAAAAGACAGTCCGTTTGAAAAGCCAGTAAGAAAAACCTTTAAAAATCAGAACAGTATCTTTCAGGAGGGCTTCAGGAAAAACTGTTTCCTTTGTGTTGTGCCATCTTACTTCCAAATACTTCCTTTAGCATGGTCTAGGCTGTTTTCCTTCAATATTGTAGTAGCACTGTATGAACGTTCCTTTACTATGAGAGGTTGAAGGAGGTACAAGGCAGCCTACTGTTTGACATGGTTTTTACTTCAGATTGGCCAAATAGGCTTCTTGTTTGTACATATAATGACAAGGACAGCCCCACTGTTAGATATGTGCTCCATTTTCCTTGTATATATGTTGTGCTTCTCCAGGATATCAAATCAAATCTGAGGGGCTGATACAATGAGTTTTTATAACAAAATACTGTAGATACTATTAGGTCATAAACCTGGAGATGAAGGTTGGATTCCAATCCCGATTTTGCAGCTGGCTCAATTCTAAGTACTAGGTAAGTCTGTTTGCAGTCATTTACAATCAAAATGGTTGGACTTTATGATCTTAAAGGCCTTTTCCAGCCTAGTTGATTCTATTTTAGCCTCTAAACAAGGTATCTGGTCATTTAGCTGTTTATCTGCCGCAAGTGCTGTCCTTGCTGGTTTCAGGACCAGCAATTGACAACATCAACACCTAAAAAGCTCAGGTGTAATACAGTGAGTATTATTTTGAAATAAACAAGTAGGAACAACTAGGGATACTGCACAGCAAATTGGCAGTATGGAAAGGAGCACTTGTAATAGCTGAAACCCTCTGAGTTGCATCCAAATTTAACTAAAAGGTTGGTTTGTTTTAAAAACACAAATGACCTTTTCTCCACAGATACGAGACAGTGGGTAATCCGTGCTAAACTGCAGAATGTGGTGAGAGATTTTTGGGCGACACTGCTGGCTGCAGCTCATTCAGGAGCCAGTTCATGCTTGCTCCTCTGGAAAACAACTGCAGCAATCGTCTTTACATACGGTGTGATGGCTGCTGGTGCACGACGCTCTGCAGTGCAGTCATGGGGAATGCCTGGCAGTTGGGCATGGCTCGGTGGGGAAGTGTTGCTGGAGATGCAGTTCATACCATTTCCTCCTGTTCATCTTGTAGATGCGCAGCCTTTCTTCTTCTGCTACAGGATCTTTGAGAATCCCATCCCATCGAAGGCTTTTGTTAAGCTGAGCAGAAAGACCTTGATCTGTTTGAGCAGAGTCCAAAGTGGTGGCAGTTGATATCACAACCTTGTTGGTTTCTGCATCCTTCTGATTCTCTTCTGAGTTATTTTGGGCTGGGTCAGGGTTCCTCCCAGGACCTGGGATTTCAGGCAATTGAGAGGAGCAGGCCTGTTGCTTTCTGGTGTTGTGGTCGTGTTTAGCTGTTAGAAAGATAAATGCTGTTAGCAAAAATGTATGCATTGCCTCTGAGGCTTTCCTGGCTATTTCATACAGAAGATGATGAGAGAACTGCTTGCTGTACCTTTATTGCCCATTAATAAGAAACCAAATCGATAAGAAAATATTAATGCCCTAATGGCCCATTTATTTTTAAGTGGGAAATATATATTTATCTGATTGGCTAACACAATGATCCTTACACCTGTAAGATGGGTTTATTGAGGCTGTTAATGCATTAATAGCACTTCTACACTGGAGTCAACTTCACTGTGCTTGCCTAACTCGATTTAGGCAGGAAATTGATTCTTGGTCGTTGGGAATATTTTAAAGCTGTTATCCATTAATACAGCAAGCAATGTGATTTTATTAATTTTTGTATAGGGCACATTTTGTACTAAGATCCTATTCCTTTACATGGAAGATTTTCTTACATTAACCTCCCATTTTGAGTAGCTATAGCAGCAACTCAACCCCACTGATGGGAGGTTAGATCAGTGCTGTGACTCAGGCCGATGGAGCAGCAAATATTTAACCTATACTGTAGCTCACCAAAAGAAAACCACTAAATATTTACAGCACCCCAAACCTTAGGCAGTTTATGAAAATTTCCTTGACAGATTTCTTATGCCTCCTACTGCTTATGCTGTGTAGTTACACACAACCTTTTTGGGGGAGATTGGTAGCAATATATGAAACGATATGTATAAACAGGATGCAGTTCAGTGGAAGGTTTTAAAGTGCCATAGATGGTTCCCTAGGAAAGCTCTGTTTTCTCTCCATGGCAGCTGTCCTGCAGGATGGAGGCAGAGCCAAGCACTATAGCCTCTGGCCAACCCACACAGGTGGATCTGAGCTGCTTCCCTGCTGGTACCCGCACTCCGGCTGCGCATCCCTTCATGTCTGTGCAGCATCAATTGCACGACCATGCGATGCTGAGCAGCGATCACGTACCAGCCTTGTGCACACATGGCTTCACCCAATGACCCCTTCCCACCCAGGTGCTGCATGGGGCGTTTGGGGGGCTCACCTGCCCGCACGGTGGTGGTGGTGGCGGCAGCACTCCTGCATGGCAGCCGCTGCTGTTTCTTTCTCTGTGGTGGCTTCGTGCCTGGGGTCTGCGGTGGAGGGGGACAAGGGCAGCCCCTCGCCCCCCGCCACCTGCCCGTGCAGCTCTCCTGTCCTGTGGCAGGCCTGGCATGGCTCCCTCGAGCCTGGCAGGGAGCAGGGGAAGGAAGGTCAGCAGCCCTGGCCCAGCCTCCATCCTTGTCCCTACTCCATCTTCCCTTCCCTCTTCATCTCCCCTCAGGTTTTGCCCTTCCATCTCCTCTTGCTTCTACGCCTTCCCGCCCCATCTCCCCTCAGCTCTTCCCCTCAGCGCTTTCCCTCAGCACTTTCCCGCCCCATCTCCCCTCAGCACCTTCCCTTCCACCTCACCTTCTCCCTTCACCTCTCCTCCCCTCACCACCTTTCCCTCCATCTCACTTCTGCCTTCCCTCTACCCTTTCCCCACCACTCCCCTCAGTGCCCACCCTCCAGCGAGCTCTCCAGGGCAGCCATGGTGCAGCAGCAAGCCTGGGCCTGCCCGTTTGGCCAGGGGCCCAGCGCCATTGCTCTGTGTGCACAGCCCTGTGCAGCACAGGTTGCCTCTCCTGTGCCCCTCTGCATGGGTAGGTACAGGGGCTTTCCTGAGGTAAAATGGCCACACCAGAAAGCATTGGCTTCTCTGAAGTAATACAGCCCTGCATCTATTGCAAGGAGACCAGTTACTGGGATCCTTCCCATCCCTTCATGGTACCTCAGCCCTGCAAATGAAGGTGCTGAGGGGAACTCGGCCATCTTCCCTCCCCTCTGCCGTTCCCCACATCCGAGCACAAAGGTACATGTGGAACAGCTTCTGAGCTGACAACAGTCCTCCTGAGCGTCCTGGGGACAGCGCAGTCCTCAGACCTCCTGCCCTTGCTGCTGTGCTGTGCTGTGCTGTGGGTGTTTCAGCAGCCCCAGCAGCCAGGGAGATGAACGTGTCTGCTTCAGAGGTGAGCCTGGATGAAAAGCCTTTGCGGGGACTCTAGCACCAGTTGCTGAAGCAATGCACCTCTTATTTGTCATCCTCTCCCTGGAAATAACACAATGTTTAATCTCGCTTTGGTTGCTTTCTCCCCCTCCCTGCCTGCCTCTTCTCTTCTCTCCTTCTGATCTATTTGGATGTGAAATTTGGCAGACGCTCGCGGTTGCATTCAGGTTGTGATGAAATTGGGCTCCCAGGAGGCCGCTCCCGCAGCGGATCCCTGGGCTGCAGGCAGCACTTCTCTGACTGCCGCTAATGATCTGATTTCAAAGTGCCAGCAGCAGGGGTTTCGCAGTGATGGTTATTACTAACGCTGTGCAGCAGCCAGCAGCTCTCCAAAGCCTGCGTGGGGATGAAAGGGATGGTGACAGGGCAAAAAGGCAAGGAAAACAGCAACAGCAGTGATGGGATGTAAATAATTCATCCAAACTGAAGAGTGAGTGCAATGTTTTTTGTTTGAGAAAAGCTGAAGGAAGGGGATCACCTGTAGCTTGTGGCAGTTGTCATTAATGTTACTGTGATAAAACCTCACTTGCCAGCCAAAATCAGAGCCCAGTGGTAGCGGCTGGCCCGATATACATACAAAGAAAATCGTCTTCTGAGAGGACCTCCCTGGAGTATCAGGATGAGTAGGAACAACGTTCGCCTGGTGCCAGGAGGATGCTGAGTGGTGAGGTGCTCCTTGACAGCAGGCTATTCTGAAGGGCTACTGTCCCCAGGCAAATCCCTTACCCTCTTACTGCTTCTGTCACCTCCCTCTTTACTCCCTTTTCTGTTTATACTGACAGTCTCGAGCTCTGCTGTGCCCATCACGGTCTCAGCGGATCTTCTACCTGCAGTTCACAGTAAAAATACTAAGAACAAACTTTTCACAGTCCTCCGAAGGTTTCACCATGTCTTGGAGGCACATATCTTTTGAAAATAAACATAGCATGAAATCATCGTATAGAAATACAATTTGCAAGCCCCGAGAATTAGACCTGAGCCCGTTCACACGAGCAAATAGAGCAGCTGATCCAAATGAGGAGTTTGCCTTTAAAACAAGTAAAAAAGCAGCTTTATTTGCTATGAAGCAGTAGTATTAGTTAAACATTTCCTCTGCCTTATATGTTCTCAAGCAAGTGTGCTCTATAGGCAAGATTATTTATTTTTTCCTCAGATTAGGTACTGAGTTATTGACTTTTTTATTGAGGAATGATAATTAGAAGGACAAATACAAACTGAATCACTGAGGACCAAATAGTAGCAGATTGCAATTACAGGAACAGCTTGGGGAAAGATCCTGTCCCTCTTGCTATGAACTGTGAAAGGGTTAGACCGAGCTGGAGGGGTCAGGGCGATGGGAAGGGAGTGCCAAACACCTCTGGCTGTGGCAGCTCCTTGCTCGTTGTCAGCCTGTATCCCTAGGAAATGGTCTTTCAGAGATAAGCAGCCAGCCAGCTTGGCCTTTAGTGTTCACTGTGTTTAAAACTGCTCATAATTAAAATTAATACTCTGATTATTATTTGTGTAGACCAGCAGTGCAACACCTCAGCACTGATTGCCCAGCACGACAGGGCTGAGATTAGGAACCCAGACCCCTGCTCACCAGTCCAGTGCTCAAACCAGGAATCTTCCTGCAGTACTCCAGGATGGTTACAATTAGGATTGTTTTGTTGTACAATAGGGCTGTTTTTAAGCATCTGTAGTTCTTCTGGAGGATACCTTCATACCCAGGAGTTCAACACCATTTAAATGGTCTTTATTTCTTGAGACACATGCTGGTTTGAAGGGTGATGCAGGAAGGCTGCTCCCTGGTGTGCAGTTATGTGCTGTGCTAAAAGCAGACTGGAGCAGCTTGGGGCATCTATGGTGCAACTGTCAGCATTGCTGATAGGCCTGCAGGAGAAGGCTGCTATCCCTTACAATCCTTGTCATATTTAAAATCCCTGGCAGCTGTGATCTGGTGAATAATTCAGTGGGACCCATCATTGATAACAGAGAGATTTTGAAGGGTTCTTTTGGTGGAACTGGAAGTGCCTGTGTTCTGAGAAACGAGTATATTAAAAATTGACTTCATGCTATCAAGCTAAAACTCATACTTAGCCTTTTAAATTTTTTAAGGTAATGTCATATTTATTCTCTGTGACTTCCAGCTATCAACGCCCAGTCTTGCAGTCGGACTCTGAAGCATCTGTGGGCATCCCAACGAGCAAATTCAACAGCAGAATGGATACAGGCTCTGAGACGTGTGTCATTTCCTGTGCCTATTGCTCCTGCCAATCCAGCTGGTGGAATAAGGTAATTTATCTTTATCCTGAAGTTGGCTGAACTGTGTGTTTAATTTATTTATACTATTGACTCTGTGGAGGACTACCCTGGTGTGAAAAGTCATCTTGAAGCACTTTCTCCCACGGAAATGCAGGCTCTGTATTAGTACAAACACTGCTTCCTCTGATGTATTTTTCAACACTTGCCTAAACTGAATAGAAAAATATATACTCAGACTTGAATCTGATTTAGTTAAAAGGTCCCTAAGCTTACCCTGAGGTCTTGTGGGTGTGTGGAAGCTTGCAGGGCACCAGGTTTCTCAAGAGCAGGCTCTGAACAGGCAATAAAAGCACAGACTGAGGGTCTCTTTTCCTTTCTCTTTCTCTTCTCTCCTTTTCTCTTCCTTTCATCCTCCCACATGGCAAATTTACTCACTGCATCCACTGGACATTTAGACAGTTATGAGCTGTAATTTCTGTGTTTGCAGGCTAGTGCAAAGGAATAATGGTTTTCCTGTGGTTTTCTGTTGACTCACCATATGATTGCAGGTTGTCACTTCACCAAGTGCTTTTCTCCTGGCTCCCCACCCTCCCTGTGCTGTGGGACAGTTATTAGTGCTTGTATGGATCTCCAGAACACCAAGTAAGACACAGTTGATTGCAAAGAAGCCTGAAGGTGGGGCCTATAACCAATTGTTGAATGCAGGAGAAAAGCCCCACCAGCCCCAAGGTCCCTCTCTGCAGGGGCAGCAGTCTGGCTGGGGCAGTTTGTTGTGTTTATCTTGCTGTGTTGGGTTCATGTTGGGTCCACACTGTGCCAGCTTCATGGCCCTTCCTCCGCATAGCTTCTATGGACGAGGAGGCCCATCCATGGCATTTCTGGGATGAACAGCTTTAACTGTACAAAATGCAGGACCAAGTTTTCCTCCTGATCCCGGCCAACCTTCTGTAGCTGGTGTCTGGTTTTAGGCTCCCTCTGCAGTTTTAGGCCCTTAATTTTTAAAAGCTATGAGCTCCCCATGCCTGTCCCAGTCCCAGCAGCTCACCTTGCATTGCCACAGGATGCTCTTGCTTTGAGCTTTCCCTGCAAAATTCATTTTTGGGGTGGGGTAGGCTTTCGCTGGGATTTGTTTGTTTCATGAGGCTATTTAGATGTGGGGTTTTTTACTTTGGGGTTTTTTGTTGTTGGTGGTGGTTTTGGTGGGTTGGTTGGGTTTGTGCTTTGTTTGAGTTTTGAGCTGGTTTGTTTTGAGGTTTGTTTTGTTTTGAGGTTTGGGCATTTGTTTTGGTTTAAGGTTTAGTTTGTTTTGAAGTTTTTGTTTTGTTTGGGGTTTTGTTGTGTTCTGAGGGTTTTGGTTTGAGGGTTATTTTGCTACCGCCTTTCCTTGTTTGCAGTTTGGGGTTTCTCCAGGGTGCTTTATCCCGGGCTCGGCTCAGCGCACCCTTGCTCAGCTCCGGGCCGGGCCTCGGCGGCCGCCGGTTCTACCGGGGCGGGTGCGACGCGGCGCCGCCAGGGGGAGCCTGTGCCCGCGGGGGACGCCGGTGGGGCGCGGGCGGCGCCGCCGGGGCTGGAGGCGGCGGAGAAGGCGGCGGTCCCGGTGAGCTCCATTTCCGCGTTGTCCAGGGGGGCGGCTCCGGGTCGCAGCGTGGCCCCTGGCGGAGCCGGCTGCTCGTTTTGCCGGGGCAGCTGGGCCGGAGGACAGGTGGGTACGCGGGAGGACTTCGCGCCGGGCGGGGACGGTGCAGCTCTGTACCGGGAAGGCGCCCGGGCGCTTCGTGCGGAGTTTGGAGCCGAGTTTCGGGTGCTGGTGCGTCCTGGTTGTCCGGAGAGCGGCGGGGAAAGCGGGCATGCTGGGGCGGGGGAGCAGCTGTTGCGGAGCACTGGGGCACTCAGACCCAGAGCTCCACAGGTGGGAGAGGCTTGTCCAAAACGCTGCTGAAAGCAGCCCAGAAACGCAGCTGGATGAACTGCACAGGCTGAGTCGAGGTGGAATTCAGCCTTCTGAGGGTAACTGAATGTAAGTGACCGAGGTGTGTGGGGAAGCAAGCCAGAAATGGGAGGCTGAGAGCAACGTGCTCCTTGGAAAATATTACCAACCTGGCGGGGTTTTGAATACTGCTGGGTTTGTGCTTGTTGTGCGGTTGGAGCAGGCACGTGCACCTGGCAGAGGATGGATTGTCCTTGTTCCTTTTGGCACTCTGACACCGGGAGATGGATGCTGTTGTATGTGCAAAAGAATGACGTGCTGTGCGCATCCTCAGGGTTCTTAGTCTCCTGTAGCTTGGGTCAGGTACTCTCCAGGGCCTGGTCAAAGTCCACGGCTTGATTTCTGCTCGTACCAACAATGTTCAGGGTGATAAGGGTCTTAAGAGTTAGAACTGGCTGTGCTTGCGTGTTGCTCAGAGGCTTCCTAGGATGTTTAAACCCAATACTATAGCTTAAGGATGCTGAGAAAGGGTATTTCATCCTCCAGAGGTGATGGCAGGCCCGTGGCTCAGAGCCATGCTGAACAGTGAGATTCTGGCAGGGTTGGGGGTCAGGCTGCTCAGTAGAGTTTCTCCACTGGCCCTCGGCTGTGCTTTTCCTGGTTCACTTAAGGTTACCAGTGAGATAGGCTGCATGAGGTTCCCTGCAAGGGATTCATTGACAAACGCTGGCCAGTGCTTCCCTGCGATGTCCACTTCTTTTTAAGAAACTCACTGCTCCTCGGGAGGCTGGGAGGTGCTGATTCCACCCTGCCAACCTCCGGCTGCAGGAAGCCTCCTGAGCTTTTTAGCATATCAGAATAGTGAAGTGAGTCTCTCTAATTGGCCATTTAGATGCTAATTTGCTTCTCCTAGGCCTCTGCCAGATCAACCTGCCCCAGAATTTGAGTCAGAAAGAGCGTGCTGTCTTCATGAATTATTCACTTTGCACAACGCACCTGCCTGGCTGGGGATCAGAAGGAAATAGGGCCAAGGTCTAGTAAATAAAGATACACCTTGGCAGGTGGAACAGTGCTGGCTTTCCTCCCCAGCATCGTAGGGTGCTGGGGAGCAGGAATACTGCTTTGCCTAGTCAAAAACCTGTTCTTTATAGATTGCCATATATCAAGTAGCCATGCTAATAGGTGCCCTTCATTAATACAGGCTTGTTGGTGCCTTATGTCGGTTTTCCTGTAGAGCTGATTTTATCTTCCCGCTCACGGGACTGGCATGGACCTCCAGGGCATTGTACTTTATAAGCTCTTTAACGAGCTCCATCTTAAAAGCAGTTAGGCTTCTTGCCACTACTGCTAGGAGTGGGAAGCAGCTCAGGCACGTAGGAACTTTCTTTGTTTTCCCCCCAGACTTCATTCTCATTTGGTCCTTTTCCAACTTGGCCTTAAATGATAATGGCACCTCTCACTTTCTGTGTGCTGCAGTTAGTTTGTGTTTAATTTGGGCTGTGCCAGTCAGATCCCAGTACACGGCTCTGAATGAGGATTTCCCCAATTTCACTGTTGCTGAGATTGAGTTTTCATGGTGAGACAGACTGGAGGTCTGCTTGATTGGGTTCTTAAGTTGTTGCCCCAAAGCTTGCTAAGGCTTCGTGATGTTTATTTGGATGTCGGACATTGAGTTTTCCTTGTCTCTGTTGCACCAAGCCACAGAGCTGCAAGTCAAGCGTGATCATATTGGATTCCTTGTGTTGCTTGGCTTTCCATGTGCTAAGGGTTTGAGCTCTTGTGGGGATTTGCCTTAGTAAGAAGTAGCAAAAGGCCATTTCTCAGCTGTGCCCCTGTGCACTGGCCCAGCTCTCTCCCTTTCTGAGAGATGGAAGGTGATGAGGATCACTTGGCTCCACTGGGCTTGTGCTTCCTGCCTGCTTCACCCCTATAAAATGTTTATGCTTATAGCAGGCTCCTTTGCTACTGGAGGGACTGACAATTTGCTACATAGACGTAGGTGTGAAGAGGCAGTTCAAAATAGTTTGTGTGTGAGAAAAGCTTTAATAAACCCCTCATTCAGGCCAGCACTTGTAGAGACACAGAGCCCCTCTGGCTCTGAGGCATGGCTGTATCTTGAAAGTCAAGTGTGTGTCTTCTGCCGCTGATCCTACAGCCCCAAGGGTTATTCTGTCACTTCAAAACAGTGGTGTGCTTTGAAATACAACTGCGGCACTAGGATCTTTAAAACATGAGGGGAAGACTTGTGTCTGGACTAAACAGCCTTTCCCTGCCTGTCGCGCTTGTCTCCCTGCTGCGCGACTAAGTGTCTGTGAGGAAAAGGGACTGGCCATCGGTGGGTGGGAGGCAGAGGCCGGGCTAGCCTTATCTATCTCTGCTACTCATTTATCCTCTGTCATAGCAACAAGAGCAAACACTCACTTAGTTGCTAAGGTTTCCTGGGGATAATGGGGTCTGGAGCAGAGAGTAATTACACTGCCTCTGTGAGGGAGCAGTAGCTAAAAGGAGAAACAGGCCAGCACGGTACCTGGTGCAAGCTGGGAGTCCTGGGGGAGCTGACGCCCTGGAAGCAGGCAAGTTAATTACACTGGCACAGCTCGGGTTGGGAATTGGGAACTTGTCTCTGGCCAACTGTTTAATTTTTATTTTTTAAATTAAGTATTAAACAAAAAATTGCCCAATTAATTTCCTATAAACCCAAATTAATATAGACACGAGCTGCTTAGCTGAAATAACTGGGCAAATGAATGACTGGAGACCTCCTTATGGGCCGGTGTAGGACATTTTTGTGTTTGGAGGGCTCCAAGGATTTAATGCTTCATGAGCACCTGTAATCAGCCCAGCGGCAGGAGGGCTCGTGCAGGCTGTGCATTCGCTGCTGGGAGGACGTGTTTTCTACTGCAAGGATTGCCTCAATGTCAACAAGACCCTTCAGGTTTAACTTTGATGTAGTCAAGATAAATGTGTTTGGGGTGGAGGAGTGGGGAAGTGATTCGGTGTAGCAAGACAGTGCTACAAGTGTACATGAGCTGAAAAAGCAAGCTAATAAATTTGGGGCAGAAAACTGTTAAGGGTGTTAAATACAGTTACAGCCTGGCTTAGGGGGTGCATGATCCAGGAATCTTTGGAGTCTGGGAGGGTATTCTGGAAAAGTATTGCTGTGTTGTGCTCTGTTCTAATAGTCTTCCTTAAGTGTCTGTTCTTGGAGCTGGTCAGGTAGCAGGTGCCATGCACACAGGACCTTCGGCATGACCTACTGTGACTATGCTCTGTTATTGAAGATGTGTGATGTTTATGTTGCTATTCTGCTGAGAAAACTGTCCTTCTTTCACAGAAGAGCCTGGAGGATATGCTGCCCCACAGCTGACTGCAGCCACCTTCATCCTCCAGGCCAAGCAGGGACTGTCCAGTGGGAAAGATCTTGCTCAGTTGGCTGTCTTACGGTCACTCTGCAGGGATGTGGGGCCAAATCAGCAGCGTGACCCTGCAGCTTTCCCCTTCACTCAGACGCCACTGGAAGACTTCTCCCTTGCCTGAGTCATGTACTCAGGTGCCTTGCTCTCTGGCTGCAAAGTCCAAGTCACATCACAGAAACAGCAGAAGCAGTCATCAGAGCTTAAAGCAGAGGTGTGCTCAGTTCTGCATCCTCCAGAATGCTCCTAGCCCTCTGCAAAGGGTTTGCTTGCTGCAGGGTAGCACTCCTTCCTTGCTGCACTCCCCTTAGCATCTGTGCCAAGGGCAGCCAGGTGGACTCAGATTTAATGAGGTTTTGTTTCACATGATTTCCTCCATCATGGGAAAGGAATAAACAGGTGGAGTGTTTTTCAAGCAGGTCAAGAGTATTGATAAGAACTGCCTTTTAATTCTTAATTCAAGTAAAAAGCAGAATCTTGGAGTGGGAAGTTTGCTTTCCCTAATGCTGAGTACTTGTGCAGCCCCTTTATTCTGTATGCAGTGTATTTGCAGCTGGGCCAAGAGCTGTGGATTCTCTTGTTCTCTCACTGCTCGAGGCTGGCTGCTTCTGCCCTTTGTTAGATTGTTGAGAGGAGCAGAGGACAGGGATGGCTCAGTGAGCTACGTGTTAGCTGGAGTATTTTTGAGAGAGAATGCAGTAGAGGCTGACTGCAAGAGAGGGGTGTTTCACCACAGCCCATAGAAATGACTCCCCAGGCTGGGGAGGTTCTGCTATCTCAGTGTTTCTGATTAGGCTGATTCCACTGTACTTCTTGTCCTGTACAGAGATAAAAGGGAGGATGTTTCATGCCTTCCAGATACTGGTACCTTTTCTCTGGCATCGCTCCCGCAGCCATGCAAGATAATCTTTTCCATGCAATCTTACTAGTGTTTCTGTTTCCTTGCCAGCAGACTGTGGCCTGCAGTCCACATCCTTCTTTCCTTCTCTGAGGTAGTTGTATCGAACCACACCAGGCTTTTTTCTTATAAGGGTGTGAAGCCACCTTCAATGCCAATTTACCTTGGAGGGAGCAGCAGATACCCAAAGCTGCCAAAAGAAAATGCTCCTGTAAATATTTTATGGAATAATCAGTCTGAAGACTGTTTTGGCATATGATGAGTCTCTAGGCTGTGCTTTGTTTTCCTTCTTTCTTTGCAGATGCTGCTCAGGGAATGGAGAACAGAAAGCTTATGCTGAGTAACAAGAGGCAAAAGAGCATGACATTGCTTGTTTTTGTTCAGTCATGCTGAGAAAAGAGCGCTGTGATATGAGGCTGAAGAATGTGCTTAGGTTTCTCCTGAGTAAAATGCTCAGCTGATGTGCTCTATTCTGCCTTGCCTTCAGCTCTGTTAGAGCAGATAAAGCTTTGCTGGGAAAGGGGCAGATGTATTCAGCACAGCTTTCCACCCTGAAAGCACAGCTGTTGGCAAAGCAAACTCCCCTGCCCTAACCATGGTATCGGGCTCATCTCCAGCTCTAGCTTTTATGTTTTCTTAAACATCCCACAGCTGCCAGTACTCGCATCATTATGCTTGAGTGCATTTAGCCTTGCCAGTGGACACTGAGTGCTTCAGGTGTGTGTGAGTGGGAGGGAAGGTACATGGTATATCTGAAGAGTAATTTAATATATGCATTTGTGAGGCTACATGTGCATATAACTCTGTAACAATGCACCGCAGGCTTGGAAAATCTCTGGAAAATGCCAGGTCTGCCATTCTCTGTGAAATTGTAGCTTCTTTCTGCTTTTAACAGTGGCCTGGGGGTGGGAGCATCCGGATTCGATTGCTCTTAATGCTTGATTGCTCCCCTGTGTGTGAGCTGTTATGAGATGTATGTGGGGACTGCTGCCTTCTCTCCTTGCTTGAGATAATGAAGAAGACGCAAAGAGCAGGAGGTGTTCTGGGATAAAATGGGAATGCCACAGCATGTGTGACATTTGTTGGTAAGCCAAGATGCCAGCCTTCAAGGATTCATTCTAGGGCCGATCCATTTCAAAACTAATGTAGGAAAGAAAGGTTTACGAAATCCTGTGTGATGCTTTTGTTTGTCCTTGCTGTCTCAACCCTCTTTCTCTGCCAAATCTTTCCTGCAGCCTCTCATCTCCTCTATACTTAACTTTTGTGTGCAGTTGGACTGTGCCTGCTGAGCATTATGCTGAACTGTTAGAGCCTTCACCCTTTCTATACATCTGTCCCCTTGCACCGAAAGAAATCCATGCTTCCTGTGGAATTTCTCCTCTTTTCTCCTGCCTGTTGTAATCTCTGAGTTTTCAGACTTTCTAGAGAAATTGGATGACCTGAGAGGAGGGAACTGGTTCATTGTTTGTAACAGTTTTGGCTCTCAAGCTTGACATGGGGTTTGGCAGCAGAGAGCTGTCAGTTCTCTAGCACAAGTTAGCATTCTTGTGCTGGGGATCAAGTGCAGTGTGTGGCACATGTGAGCTCAGCACAGGGAGGGAGATGAATTTGCAGAAGCTGCCTGTGTCAGAGGGCCAAGGCCATGCAGCCTGTGATGCCTCCTGCCTGGCACAGAAGCAGAAACCTCTGTGTGTCAGCCATAGATAGCAAGTGTAGGTACAGCACACTGAGCCACGGGCACTGCTGTGGTCAGAGTGCTGTGGATTGAGACTGGAACATGTGTTTTCTTGGGAACTACTGCACAGTTGGCAGGTGATATACCTTGCGTGCTATTGTATCTGATTTGTGTTTGCCAAACAGAATTAAACATGTTATCTCTGCCCAGCAGGTATGGTTTCAAAGCTAGCAAGTGTCTGTTCTAGGGAAGGTAAGTATTAATACCTGGAAATTTATGCGTTAGGGCTTGCGAGACACTTGGTCTGCTGGAGAGCAAATCCAGCTGGAGAAAAGCTCTGTACATCAAGACTAATTTTGCCTCCGCTGTAATATTTTGGCTGTGTCTGTCCCTTGGTGCTTTCTGTTCATCTTTGCTGCTGGTAGGACTCAGAATTGCTTAGTTGCAAAGTCTCTTGGGGATGTGTTTCTCCTATGAGTGTGTGGAAATTGGTTTTCGCTGCCTTTACTCATCAGTTCACAGTGATACTGTCATTGAACAAGGACTCACTGGTGTGATTGTGCCAGTCACAGGAGCCTCAGTAGGAGAGTCTGCTGCTAGAGGTGCCGTCTTAAGCATCAGAGAATGCAAACAAGCTGCTAGTGTAGACTGTAGTTATAAATATCAGGTTATTATGGAAGCAGTTTTAATGAATGAAATGTCTTGCCACCTATTCATGCTGATTGTCAAGTGGGTTTTTGTTTGTTACCCTATTAAGAGGTAAACAAAAAAGCAACTTGTAGCTTCTTTGTGTCCTTTAGAGTGGCTTTCGCTGTCAGTACTGCAGCGTTGGGGCTCCAGAGGTGATGGAGCAGAGATTGTTCTTAAAAACACTTTTCTCTAGTTTGAAATGAAAAATCTGAACTGACAAAGAGTCTCTGGCTTTCTGTTTTTAGAGTACGATAAAATATAAACTTCCAGCCTTGTCTTCAAGGTATTTGAAGGTATCTATTGGCTTGTATTTTATGAGGATGATGGTATGTTTTTGTCGCTGTTTGTAGGTGAGGGTCTGTCTACTTCCACCATGTTTAATGCCAGCAGAGCAGCCTTCTGGAATGGTTAAGAAGGCTGTGCCAAGCACTGCCCTGAGGTTTCTCCAGGGTGGAATGGCAGCTGTATTCAGTACTGGTGTTTTCTTCTTACAGGTGTGATCCCTGCCTCTCCTCCCAGGCTGGTGCCATGGCTGACATGATATTTGGCAGTGGGACAGGCCAGTGGGTGTGCCCCAATGACCGGCAGCTCGCACTGCGTGCCAAGTGAGTCCTCACCATCCTCCTCCTCTTCTCCTAGCCTTGGCTCTGGCCTGAATGGTTTCCTGTTATCTGTGTGGAGCACTGGCCTCATTCACAGGGGTTTGCTTGTCATGCAAACCCCTCTGTAGCCTAGAAGTATGCTGCTTGGGTGGGAGAGGAGCCTGCTACGCTGGGGCTTGGTGCTTGGCTGCTGCTCAAAGCTGCCAGCCTACAGTGGAATTTGCAGTTTAGCTGCTGTGTGGTGTGTTCCATCCCACCAGCCCTCCCCTGGGTGAAAGGAAGGGCTTGGAGGCAGGCATATATCTCTGCAGCACCCTACAATATAATTGATAGCATCCCCCAGCTGCCAGAACTCTTTTGTATTAGGAACTTGTCATTTGATCTCATTTCTCCTGAAGTTAAATTACTGCATAACCTAAAGACAAAAGGGATAGAGATGAGTCAAGCACTACAATTGCATTTGTTTCCTGTATGCTTTTCTTCTCTGGCAGCCAGTGTGATGCCACTGCCACCTCTGCTGTTGTGTGAACCTCTGGGGTCAGCCTGCTGTAGTGTTAGAAAATAGGAGGTCACACTGTGTCTGGGGGGGACTGCAAACAGTGCACACCGCTGTCGCTTCACCAGCCTTCACCTGAGAGCCTCATTAAGACAGCTGTGTCTGATAGTGCCCTACATTCTGCAGCAGCTGTGACTTTAGCCAGTGACCTCTAAACCCCTACTGAATAGTAATTAATTGTGCTGTGAAAGCTCCCGCCTGTCCCCAGGTGAGCTGAGGAGTAATGTCAGCCATTGTATGGGAGGCACGGAGGGAAGTGGATGCTGAAGTCGTTGTGGGGGCCTGTGTTAGGCCAAGGGAGGAAGTTGCCAAATTTATATTTCCATGTGTGGCTGATGATTTGTGTGTTTGTACTGAGGACCTTAGAAACATGCCATCTGGAGAGAGGAGGGTGCAGGTAATCCCTGTGTTCCAGAGTCAGCACCCATCTTTGCAAGGATACCCCCAGGATGGCCATCCTTAGGTGCATTAGTTTTTCTTTGTGGACAGAGCAAAATAGGAGTGAGGACATGGAGTAGTAAAATATGAACTGGAGCAGAGAGGAAAATGAGAGGGCAGGGAGAGACGGCGCAGACTCAGTGTTGCGGGAGGAGTGATGTGGTGATCTAGTCAGTGAGAAGACACTCCTGTTTTGGGCATTAGCTAGGGAACAGACTTCTCTGATGGAAGGCTGATGTGGGCTCTATGTGCATGGCAGGCTTGGCCTTGTGGGTCATGGCAGGGGTTTTGTACTTTTCTTTCACAGCTTAATTCTTCCTTCTGCTCTCCCCCTGCCACCATCCCCAGGCTTCAGACAGGCTGGTCAGTGCACACGTTCCAGACTGAGAAGCAGAGGAAGATGCAGGCTCTGAGCCCACAGGAACTTGAGGTCATTCTGGAAGTCATCCGCAAGGCAGAGAAATTGGACATCATTGAGCAGCAGCGCATCGGGTACAGTCATGTTCATTTGTCCCCTTCCCTCAGAAGGAAAGGTCAGCTCAGACAGAGGAGTGGCTCTCCTGGCTGCCTGAGCTCAGCCTTCATCAGTCAGAGCATCCCTTAAGTCAGTTACTTTATCCTCCCATGTTGCTTGTTTGGAGACGATGAACATTGGGAAGGATGTGGTGTTTTCCTTCTGCCTCTGTCTCAAGCCTTTCTTGTGCCTTCTTTGAGCTTTGGGGCTTGCTGTGGTTGCAGCCACTGACACAGTACCTGGTAAATGCAGCCTCTGCTAAGGCAGCTGCCCCAGTGGCTGCCCACTGAAAGAGGCTGGGGAAGATGTTGATTTGTGCAGCTGCACCTGCTGCTAGTGCACTCTATGGCTCAGGAACTGCTCCTGGTGCCACGGTGAGGTTTTCCCTTGTCTGCAGCAGCCCCCTGGGATTTTGCCTGGAGCACTGAATGCGTTTGTTCTAGTTGGCTGAGCCCTCTGGAAGGGGTTTGCTAGCTTGAATTGTCTAATTTATGGGCATGCTTTTGCTGCTGCAGATTTCCATTTGCTTTCAGTCCTGCTGGAGGTCTTATTTGTGAGACAGGAAGCTCCCAGCCCATGTCCAGCAGGCTCCGCTCCCTGCCTCTGTGCTTTGCTCTGTCCCTGTGCAGTGCCTGTTAGTGCTAACAAGACCTGACACTGATGTTTGTGTGATATAATGGAGATCCAGCAGCCCCAGAAGCAGCCAGCAACCCCGAGGGACTGATCGTTCTGTGTGGTGGTTGGTGTAATTGCAGAAGGTGATAGCTTTGCTGTGCCCATGCTGCAGCGTTCTCTAAAATGCCTTTGTTAAGTCCTGGGAATTTTCTTGTGCTGAAGTCAAGAATTATAAATCTATTAATGATGGCTCAGCCTGGCTGTGCTGTCTGACCTCGTCACCATAGGCAGTACCTCTTTTAAACAGACCTTGCCTTCCTCTCAGTACGGGCCTTAGTTGATGGGACATTAGTGCTAATGAGGATGAGGTTGCATGGACAGCAGGATTGCGTTTCCTCCCTGAGCCACAGGCACATGTGTGGCTGTGACTGGTCACTGTCTCTGATAAATGGCCTGGCTGTTAGTGCCCTCGTCTACAAATGGATGCCTGAGAATTGCCAGGCAGTGATCTCATGACAGCAGCCCTGCTCTGCATGCTCTCCACATCCTGCGTCTTAATTGCTTATCCCGCCTTCCTTCCCTTTTGTAGTCCTGCTGCTATGGATATCGTGCATACATGTGTGCTTCCTGTCTTCCAAGCAGGCTGTCAGTCACAGCAGGGAGCAGTTTCTGGCATTCCTGTACTACAGCCAGGCTCATTTTGGTTTGATGGCTTCAAGTCTGGCCTTCCTGCTTGTAGTGGAATGTGGGCAAGTCATGTGCCTGCAGTGTGGCTTTCAGGGAATATATGTAAACATGGAGCAGAGCTTGGCAGGTCTGACTCCTCTGCCCTTTCCCGGTGTTGTCTGACTTGCCCTGATCTGAGCGCTAAAGGCTTTTCCTGTTCTACAGGCAGGAAATCATTGTGCTGAAACTGTGGCCCCAGTGACAGTGGGTTCCTCAAGGGTGTAGGATCAAGCCCTTCTTGTGAGCTGTCTGCCTTGCCCCCGCTATCTGAGTCAGACCTCTCAGGAGTAGTCAAAGTTTTTATTATTCAGGGCTTGGTGAGCATCAATAGATGGACTTAAACAGCTTTTTATCCCCTGATGACCAAGAGCCAGCTGATAGGAAACACTTGAGTGTAGGGGCTGAAGTGAAAGTACATATGGCCCCCAGCAAGGGCCCCAAAACTGTTTAGAAGAAGCAAAGGCAGGCTGAGTATGGAGCACCCGTGTGCAGGTTTTTGGCATGCCTCAGTACCTACCATGTGCTTCCATTTCCAAAGTGAGTGCTTTGACCTCTGCTCTGCCTCTTCCCCCCAGGCGCCTGGTGGAGCGGCTGGAGAACATGAGGAAGAACGTGATGGGGAATGGCCTCTCGCAGTGCCTGCTTTGCGGTGAAATGCTTGGGCTGCTGGGTGGCACGGCGGTCTTTTGTCAGGATTGCAAAAAGGTGGGTTTAGTTACACACAGGTTCCTGCATATTCCTGGTAGCAGAGCTGTCTAGAAAGTCCACCAGGCCACTTGGAATGTGTCAGAGCATCAGGTTTTCTCTTACACCCCTTATTCCTTAGGATCCTAAAGTGCCTAAACTGCACTTTGTGCACCAGCCCCTCTGTACCTCCCACTCCGGGTTTGCAGAGTGGGAGAAGGGGCAGAAATGTACGACAAGCAACCAATAAAAGAATCTTTGTGCTTTACTATTACCTACTGCAAGGTCTGCCCTTAGGCTTTCCAGTAATGCCTCTCTCTGGAGGAGTCAAGTCCGTCTTCAAGTTCCAAACCAGTGTAAAGTTTCCAACTGTGTGCACTGATGGCTGCCTGTGTTTGAGTATGTTGTTGGCAGGACTGTACGGGTGCCGTTTGAAAGGCAGTATCAGTTTTCAGGCAGATTGCTGTTCTGCCAGCACCCTGAGGGATAACTGTTGCTTGTCTAGACTCTGCAGCCAAGGGGTTAATCTGTATTGCTGTGGAAATGATGATCTCCAAGGCAACCACCTTATCCTCCCTCTGCTGGGAGGCGGTTTTTCCTGCACTTGAAGCCCATCTTTCCCTGGGGAGAGCACTCTGTAAGTGACTTTGCCTCAGCATGTTGCATGGGGAGAGATGAGGGTACCTGCTGCATGCCAGGAGTGTTTCTGACTTGCTGGTGGTAGAGTGGAAGGGAGCAACGTGTGCTGACTCTGTCCCTGGTGGGTACGAGAGCCAAGGAGACACTTGCTAGTGTCACCCACCCTGTGTCACTGAGGAGGTGTCCTGTGGATCTCACAGGACAGCACTGAGTAAAACCTGCTCCTCACCATGGAATGGTGCATGTTGGCACCTCTGTGGTTAAGCTGCCACTCAGGCCATGATGGAGAACTTTTTGTGCTGGCATTGACAGCATTTGTGACACGCAGTTCTCATGCAGAACAGGCTGCCAGGCTGGGCCTGCACTGGTCCATGGTTGGCTGCAGCACTGCTGGGCTCAGAGGTCTTGTAGGAGAAGGAAGGTGGGTGTCCCTTGGAGTCAAAACCGAGGTCCCAGCAACCCTCCATATGTGCTTGCTGGGCAGGAGCTGCTGTGAGCTGTGCTGCCTTTGCTGTTGAGTGAGCTTCTCCACTGGATTCAGTTTGCAGAAGTAGCTTGACTGAGGCAGGGGTTATAGTGGAGATTTCTTGTAAGGCAGTGACTGGGCAAGTAAACATCAATCTTTGAACTTTCGGGTCCTAAGCCAGTATTTGATAAGTGTTGGGGAAGCAGTAAGGTACAAGGAAGTTAAAGGTCTGGTTTGAACTGAAGGTTCAGCAGCTCTCTCAGTGAGGTGCATGGGAAGTGCATGGGCTCTGTGCATGTGTGCTTGTGGAGAATAAAGGGCTGGATAGCAGACAGGGGACGGCTGGCTGTTTCCTGTGTTTCAACCACATGGAATAACAGGATGTGCTGTATTCTTGCCTCCATCCCTTGATGGTTCTGCTTTCACCTTGTCCAAAGCCAGCTAGGTCACATTGCCGCGGTGCTTCCTAATCTTCCTGTGAACCTTGTACCCTAATGAGGAGGCAAAAACTGATTCAGCCATTTCCCTGCCCTGTCCATTTGCAGTTGCAGATAGGAACTCCTAGCTGCAGGAGGCCCAGCTGTGACTGGAAAACCCCAGAGAAGGGCTGGGATTTTAGGTTTTATTTTTTATGGTTATTTCCTTTTTGTCTGGAGTCTGTTCAGGAGCATTCATACCCAGGTTGTTTTAAGGTGAGACCCTACTTTTCCAGTGTTCATTTTGCAGCTGCTTCCTGCTTGTTTGCACTTTCCAGCTGCGTGCAAGCTCAGGGCAATGCTGACTGGGTGTCCTGGGCTTCTCCCCTTACCGTTTTATAACGCTAAGGAGGGAACTGGGGGAGCAGTCAACCCTTCAGCAGAGCACACACAGTAGACTGTTACTTTAAGCTCATCCCTTCTCATCCAGGGATATCTATCACTCGTGCAGTGCTGTATGCAATAAGAAATGACTTGTCAGGGAATTATAGATTTTTAAAGTTCCTGTTCTTCTTGCTGGCTTTGCTCTGTAACCATCTCATTGCAGCTCACATAATTCAATAACAGAAATTGTTGTAATGATGCATCTGAAACATAGAAAAGAACTTAGCTTCAGCAAGTCCGTTCTGCTAAATAGAGGTTCTGTATTTCTTGCAGCCTGATGGATTTTCGAAGTGCCACATTCTGTTTTACAAAGAATGTATTTAATATTAGTTTCTATTATCTTAGATATAAATGCATAATGGCATGACAAAGATGTATTCAAATCCAGATGTGTTAACAATAACAGTAGTTAGATAAAGCATAATGGGTCATTTATTGTGCAGAGAGTATCAGTGTCATGTGTAAAAGGTGAAGTACAAGTAGGAGAAGAAAGTGCCTTATCTTGTATTTAGATAGGAATGGGGATGCATTTAATGTCCTTGATTTTTATGTCATCTTTTGAGGGGCTGTGAATGATGCTCAATATAAACCCAGTTTATATCAGAGCTGTGAAAATACGAATAAAATCGCTTGGAAACTTCCACTAGAGGGAGCGTTTGAATGTGCTATACGCGAGGGAATTGGGATCTTTGAGGGTATTTAAGACTGGGTCGCTCCCTCAGGTTTTGGTTTGAGGGAGGGAGAATTTGGGGTAGTTCGGGTGGTGTCTGCTAATTTCATCTGCAATCCCCCTTGATTTGGGTAGCACCCAAGTGTTGAGTATTGATGCATCAAACGCAATAGGTTGCTTCTTACTTCTCTGCAATGATGAGGACTGGAACAGAGAGATGGAGAAGAGCACCAACCTTTGTGGGGCTGTTAGTGCTGCCCTTCCATTTTCTGTGCAGCATGACAGACATGCCTCTGGACTATGCTGACCAAAACAGTCGGATGCATTTATTCATGCAGTGAAGCCATTGCTTCAGGTACCATCATTCCTCCTCCAGGCATGGGCAGTGAGGGCTAAGTGAGCCACTGAGACTTTCATCCTTGAACACAGGCCTCCTGTCTCAGAGGAGGAGCAGCCTGGTGGCGGGCATATGTAAAACCTTAGCTGGGGAGATTAAATTCGCATGTCTCTGAGCAAGGTTTTGCTCTCCAGGGCCCTCTTCTGAGTGGCTTTTGCTCTGTGAGGATCAAAGAATTCATCCAATTTCTCATTCAAGCTGTAAGCCAAGCCTGATACACATCAGCTTCATTATATAATATTAGATGATTCAGGTTGTAAATGGCTTGTAATGCCAGCGGAGACATGAAAGTTCCCTTGTGCAGCAGCAGAGGCCGTGTGGCGTTATCAAGCATTCTGCTCAGACAGTGTTCATGTAGGCATGGCCCTGCCACAAATCAATAGCTGTCAACTGAATGCTGAAATGGAGGAGAAGCCATGGGGTTTGAGACTGCGTATGTGAGGGAAGGGAAGAGAGGATTTCCAGTCTTGCACAAACTTGGTTTGTACTTAGTTTTAGCTGCTTTCCATGGCACAGTGATTGGGGTTTAGGATTAAAAAAACAACTCTGGAAATATTCCTGTTGGTCATGGGCTTTGATTTGCCCTTTCCAGTTCTCTTCTTGCCATGGAGTCAAGGACTAGACTGTAGATTTGCCTTTGTCTCATGTCCATATAGACCTGGAGCAGCTTCCTGTGGTTGGTGGTTCTCCAGGTTAAATAAAATTGTGCCATGATTAGGTTTTTAAGGAAAACAAATCAGAACTATTGGGAAAAATGCTTCCTGACCTTCTCTCTCCTAAGGGCTATATGGCTGTGGGAAGCTGCTAACGCCACCTTATTTTTTCCTCTCTTGTTTCAGAAAGTTTGCACCAAGTGTGGAATAGAAACCTTTGGAGCCCAGAAACGTCCTCTTTGGTTGTGCAAGATCTGCAGTGAACAAAGAGAGGTAAAATACAACTGTGGAGAGATGGGGCTCAGCAGCATGCACCTACCTGCCTCAGGTCTGTGCTGAGCATGCATTGGCTCTTCCCTGCGCCTAGGTGCTTGGAGGGGAGCTTGGGATTGGTTTTGGGAGGCTCAATGAACACACACAATGGTGAAAACTTTGGTTTATGAGGGAGTAGAGGGGAAAAAAATCCCCCAAAATCCCCTGCAGCCTGTACAGCTTTGTGGGATTTTTTTGGTCATAAAGAGACTGTTACCTTTTGCCATGCTCTTTCCTTCCCAGCTTTGTGGCAAATAAACTTGGCTAGCGCTGGTTCTTCAATACAGCTAGAAAGATGTAGAGGATAAGTGCAATATTTGTCCCTCTAAAAATAACCAGGATTGCAGTTTATAAGTCTGTTTCCTCCCTGCCTGCAAAATCCCATAACTTGACAGTGTGTGAGACTTCTAATGCAGGTCTTTAAATTTTTATATCCTTCATCTTTGACTTTACACAGCAAAAAGCAATGGCCTGCCTCAATTTTTGTCTGCCAGCCAGCATCCACCAACATCAGGGCTTGCTGCTCTACAGTGAAGTCGGTGAATTTGTTCTGTGATTACAGAAGGATTTTCACTTGTTCCCATCAATTTCTTTCAGACTTTTGCTTGTGGTCCTTGAACATCAATCTAGTGCAGCTATTTCTGACCACTGCAACCAACCGTGAAACCTGGATACTCTGCTACATCCATTTTTGAAGTGTAGTGAGAGCATTTGTGCAGGTGTTCTGCTAAATTTTTTTTGCTGCTAGTTGTGGAAACTTGGCTTTGCTTAAGTTTTACATCAGAGGGGACTGTTTGTGCGGGAGCGCTTGCAAAATTCATGTTCAGCTAAGACGAGGGGTACACAGATGCTGCCAGTCCTCAGATTTTGAGCAGCAGGGTGGGTAGGGCAGGCGGAGAGCGTTCCAGCTCCTTGGACATTGCTAATAACTGGATACACTGAATCTTCCAGATGTAGGTCCCGAAATGGAGAGCGAGGCAAGTCAAGATATTTTCTGTGTTCTGCAGAGAGATGAGTATGGGACTGAAATTGTCTTTATTTCTGTTATTCTGTTCTTTCTATAATTCTTTTTTTCCTCATCTCATGCTGTATAATTGTTTGGGGGTTTTTTGTGTTTCTTATAAAAATGATGAGGAGCTGTGGTCACTGGACAGAGAAGAATATTAACCTGTCCAATAAGTGTTAGATTGGCCAGTGTGTGAGGGTAGGGTAACCTTCAGAGCTCGCGCTCTCTCTGAAACCAGAGATAAAGCCAGAGTGCTTTCCTAATGAAAATGGATGGACCTTTCCTTCTTAGACTAACTAAAAAATAGCCTCATCTTGCTTCCCAACCCTAAGCTTCATCTTTATCTTTTAATTCTATTTAAGGTCAGTTCATGTCTGTCTTCTTTCTTGCTTGCAGTGATTCTGGTGCCCTGATAAGGGGAAGTTTGGAAGGGTAACAGTGTGGACATGCAGACAGGCATGCATACATTCCCTCTGTCTTCCCATATGCTCTGCTTTTAATTTGGGAGAGGGCAGGGAAGCATTGGGAGTTAGAGGAAGCCTCGAGGCATGTCATCCAGGGCAAGGAAGTTGAGGCAATGTCAGAATAAATGCCTGGCAAGTGGTTTGATCAAGTCTTCCCTAAGTGTGTGAGGAGGAGATGAGGCTCTTGGGCCTCAAACTGATGACTGGTGCAGTCCCTGAAACTAGTTCTGGTGTCATGGTATTACAAGGCATGCATTAAATTACCAGGTTTTTTTTCAGGGCTTGTGTTCACAACCAGTTCCTTATTGCTGTCTGTTCCTGTGATTTGGATCTGTCTTGTATTGCCATCTGCTATGGACCAACCCCATTTGGCCATGCTCTTTGCTGAAGGTTATATTTGCTATCAATGAGTGCAGATGGTTGTCTGTTTTTTGGGATCAGATGCTCTCATTTCTGTCTAACCTTTGAATCCCTTGCATGGTGAGTAGGTGTCGGACCTGTCTTATTTCCTGGCATCCAGGCAGGGAGCTTCAGGAACACACTGAAGCACTTTGTGTTGTGTGATGCAGTAACAAGTCAAAATCACCCTTCTTCTCTCCCCTTCTCAATGCACAGCTTGTCTGAGCAAGGTTGTCCTTTAGTCCATGCCAGCAAAATACATGCTTAAACTAGGCTTGTCGCAGGCCACAGAGCTCTGGCAACACCTCCCCACTTGTCAGGCCGCTGAAGTGGGCCAGCTCAGGTGGGTGAGTGTTTGATGCTGATTCGGAGTGCCTCCCCCAGCAGGTGTGATGAGATGTGGTGTTTCCAAGCTGGGTGATTCCACCCACATCAGAGCTTTGATCGCTGTCTAATTTTCTGAACCACTGTTCAAGCTATTTGAGCATGGTATTTATGAAGCTCTCGATTCTGTTAGCAAGAGACTGTCAGGCATTGAAATGAGAAAGAGGTCATTTGGAAACCTGGGTGGACTAAATGATGTTGGCTAGAGTTAATGAGTGTCATCTGGCTGGGACAAGAGCCTAGGACTGTAATTGTTCCCTTTAGTCTCTGCCATGCACTGAGTGAGCACGTGAGTCTTGTGGCCCACCAGGATCTCAAGCAAGCATGGTGGGGTTGGACACATATGGTAGTTAACAGCTGTGGTATGTGGTGGTGTTCATACATGCTAAAACTTTCATCCCTCCATCTTCCTTGTTGTTATTTATCCCTGTAGACTTGATTTAAGCTAGTTTAGCAGTAAGTTTAGTGATACGTGGTAGTTCTCTCCCCCTTTTGCTGTGTGGACAGAATCTCCTGGCTTCAGTAACGCTTTAATCATCTGTCTGCCTGGGTCAAAATGAAGACCAAAGTAACAAGCTGTTGTTTACATCAGTTTTCAGTTGGAGTTGAATGCTTGGTGACCATAGATCCCTTTGTGAATCCCAGCCTCAGCCATTCAGAAGTGTTCTTTGCTGCTTTCTGCTTCCTTGAAAACCTCTGCTGGGAAAGGCTGTGCTGCATAGCAATGAGGAACAAGTTGCTCTGACACTGTCTTATTTCTGGAGAGTGGAGGCGATTGATGGATTCTGTCTGCTGCTTGTATCCCAATCATGCAGAAGCAAAACAGTGTGTTGGGCAGCACTTGAGCTTCTGAAGTGTGATGTGTATGATCAGGGTAAGGGTCTCCAAGGTGCCAGGGAGGTGCTGGGGACGAAAGTACTGTGTTCTGACATGGCTGGGACCTGAAAGAGCCTGAATGTTCTTACTGACAAAGAGAACATCCCCAAAGACCGGCAGACACCCTGCATCATAAGTGCCTCTCTTCCTGAAGTAAGATAGACCTCACCTGCTTTAGGCCAGAACTGGCTTTTTGGACATATCGCTTGTCCTAGCTGTTTGTAGAGGTATCTGTTGAAAAAACCCTTTTTGTTGTTCCAGGATTCTGTGGACATTTGACTGTGCAATTTAATTCCACGTCTGAGGGCAGTGCAATTAAAGCAGATGAAGATTCTGGTTTATTGTTCCTGCCAGCAAGGGTAGAAGCAAACTCAATCAAGATCACATTCACTTTTGAGGGCAAGAATCGCCCTTCTTCCCTCCTCCATGTGTTGCATTGCCTTTCTTGGCTTTGCATCTTGCATTCACTTTCTGGAGAGTGAATGTGGAGGACTGATCCTCCCTGGGGCAGTCCTGTCTCTGCATGCATATGAAGTCCCATGGCATGATTAGAAAGCCTGTTCCATGGCTGCAGCAAACACTGGCCACAGGTTCGCAGTGAGGCTCTTCACTAGCTTGGCAGTGAATCAGTGATGCACCCATGGAATGAGAATGCAGGGCAGAAAGGGACCAAGCCCTCCAGCAGAACGGGCTTATTGCAGCAGCTGTCAGAGGAGCAAAACCTGCCTGGGGGGAGCTGTGGTGGGCATATATACAGCTGGAATGATTCCCTGCTGCCAGCCCTCGGGCAGAGCACGTGAGCTTGGTAACAGCTTGGGCAGCGATGCCCATGTTGAATTAGTTGCATGTGGCTGAAGTCTGCCCATCACCTGGCCTGAAGGGGACATGGGTCCTGCTGTGTTTTGTCAAATCCCTCCTCAGCTGTTTAACTCTGCACAGCCTTGTTTTGACTGATACCACCAGGTTCTGCAAAGCACCTTCCTGAGTTACCATTTTATATATATATATATATATATTTTACATCCATAATTAGCGATGCTATCATCATAATTAAAATACTCTTGGAAGCATTTGTGCACATTTACATTTGAATTGGCACATCAAAATTGTAGCGATAATGAAAACAGCTTTAGTAGGGTGGGGGGAGATAGTTATTTTTTAAACCCCATCAAATATGAAAGGGAGTGTCAGTTATCAGGGACCTGTTAAAGTTTTAATTTGTCCCCTTTGCTTCACTTTCCCTTTAATTTCTTCTCTTCCTCTAAATGGCATTTTCATGGCTGGCTGCATTTTTTGGTTTATCACAATAAACCATGCAGAGGAAGAAGATTACTGCACTGGAGCAAGGGAGTTGCCTCCTTCCCCTCTTGCCCCCAGCGCTTCCCTTTTCACATATGCACTCATACAGTTTTGAACATTACCAACCAGCATAATCTGGGGTTATTCCAGCCTGATATGATGATTTCTTGGCAAAATACCATCCTGATGGAAGGGGAGTGTTTATTTTGGGTGACTCTGGATTGAATCGAAGTGATGTGCACCTGTTTGCAATTCAAAGAACTCATCAATTGCCTGCCATATTATTTTGGGGGTGGTAGAAACTGGTTAGACTCAAAATAGTGTCCTCTAGAATAGAGCCACAGGAAAAAAAGAGGCCTGATTGAGAGGGGAATGGTAAATCATGGAAGGCTGGCAGCCATTGCAGCATGAGAAACGTTGGGGTCAGGGGTGTGATAGATTTTGCTATTCCGGAAACAAAGCTCCGAATAGCAATTTCACTGCCTTTTAATTTTCTTCATCCTCAAGTGCTGAATGTGGGAGTTGACAACAGATTGCTGTAAATAATGTAATTGGAAATCTCTGTGTTATGGAAAAGCAGATGAATGCAAATAACGAAGCTGAAGAGCGTTTGCTCTTTCTCCCTGCCAGTGGTTTGCAGCGTGCCAGAGCCATGGTGGAGAGCTGGGACAAAGTGAGTGTGTGGGCATGTGCTGCGTGAGGGCAATGCCAACGAAGTCCTCCCAGGGTGGTTGCATTTGCAGGTGCCTTTCTCTTCAATAAGCATTGTAGCCCATGGGAACCTGCTCCCCCGCCTTGCGGCTGCTGGGGGATTAAGCCAGTAGTGCTGGTGTCAGCACGGGAAGCTAAAGGTAGCTGTTTTCCCCTCACGCAGCCCAGCCTGGGCTGCTGTGAAGGAACGGGGCTGCAGAATGAGAACAGCTACTGCGTGGCAAGCACTAGGTGGTAGAGCAAAATGTGGCTTTGCAGCAAAGATCCTTTGTAAGCATCTCTGTTTAGGGGGCTTGTGGCTTGGTAAAGTGAACTCAGTGGGGCTCCGAGCATTAGCTATGATTCCTTCAGCTGTGATCCTGTCCATCAGTAAGCCTTAATGTTTTCTATTCAGAAGTTTTGTGTTTTAGCACTGTTATGTTCAGAGAAGGAGAAAGAGGAGGGAGAAGTTTGAGCATTAACATGTGTTTCACCATGGCCCAGTAATTCTCTGTTACGTCCCATTTGCAGGCTGCACTTGAACGTGTTAGGTAAAAGTACACATCTGCTTCTCACCATCTCATTCTATAGCTAGAATGATGGCTTAATGCAGCTTTTAATACAAATGTTATCAGGGCTATAAAAGGCAGTGAGCTCTCTGGACTTGTCATGGCCATGGCTGTTAAATTGGTCTGAAGTAATAAAATAAAGCTACTATTGCTAAAGTAGCTCCTCTCCCATGTCCTCCCTCACTTTGCTTTAAGGTAGGTTAGATGTCAGAGGAAGCAGAAGGATAGGAGTGGAGTTTGGCTGTCTTTGGCTGGGCAGTTTGAGCACAGTGGGCTTGGGGACAGCTGAGCCAGTGAGCCGTGGTGGGGCTGCTTTGTCCTAAGCCACACACTGGGCCACTACATTCTGATCTGGGATCATGCAGATATGCATCTTCCTTCCTTCAAGCACTTAGAGCAAGGGGTGATCAATGTTACTTAAATTTCAGTTGCTGCAGGAGGCTGGAAGGGGCTGTTTCTCTCTCTTGCTGATGAAGTTCCAGCTCTATCCAAACTCAGGCTGCCATGGGGGCTGGATTTTACCTTGTGTGCCAATGGGACAGGTGAGAGCAAAACTCTTTCCTCCTTGGAAAGGGCAAACTTCTCCTAATAAACATGGGTTTTATTGTTGAAGAGGTGTTATGGATTTATTAATTTAAAATCAAGCAAGAACTTTGCTGTCGGGCCACTCTTGCAATCAATAAAACTGCCATCAATAGCAGTCAGCAGCATTGATCTGTTTTGATGCATGGATGCTAAAACTAACCTGTGTGCCCATGTGCAGAACAGAACGTGAGCTGCTGTCATTTTGGATGGAGCATGCTGCTAACCTGAGGGGATCAGAGGTGCTAAATTAAAACAGGGGAGAGCATCTTGCTGCAGCGATTTTAGAGCTGATCTCAAAACAATTTCAGTACTGCTGTAATGAGACCAAACTGTCAAAAGCACCAATTTAAAGTGAATATGTATTGTAGACTCAATTTTATACTAGTATTACTAATTCAGAGCTGGGTGTATTGTATCATTAACTGTTTCTATAACTGGACTTGCTTTGGGGTAGTGAGGAACCTGGGGGTGACCAGCCTTTTCTTACAGCAATCCTTGCTGTGTCTGATTGGGTTTATGGTGTGCCTAAATTGTAGCTCTCCTGAAGATAATAGGTCTCTTCAGTGCTTCAAATTAAATTACAGATGTTGCAAGGTCTGTTTAGAAAATGGCTGTAAGGCTTGCTTCCTCCCTGGCAATTTGTGCAGGGAAGCTACGTGTGTCCCAGCTACCCAGTGTGTGGCAGGGGACAGATAACCTGCCCTCCTCAAGCTGTGGCACTCACTCAGGTGCAAACCCTTTGAGTGCAGCTGCTCCCAAGCCTTCTTGCCTCCCTGAAACAAGGGAGACCAGGGCTTACCCAGCCTATGGCTCCTGTGTATTGTTACCCAATTTACAGTACACTGAGCTCCATGTAGAGGTGTCTGTCCCAGATTTGAAAACCATATTCTGTTTCCTGACTCTTGGTTTTGTTGCGATAGCAGAACAAGATCCTCCAGCCTCCCTGTGCTGCGCTGACACATGCTGTTGTACAAGCTATACCAAATGCCGTGCAGTCCCTATGTGCTAGCAGAGAGGACAGGAAGAGCTGTGTCAGCTTGTGCCTTGACTGGATGGGACACTGTTTTGGCTCCTTGCATGTGGTGAAGGAGCTGGTAAAGTGTCCTGCCTGCCAAGGCCCTTTCTGTAGAAGAGCTTGCAGTTTTCTCCCCTTTGGGGAATTGGCTTCCCAGCTTTTTGCTTGAATGGCAGACTCACCATCCTTCTGGGCTGTTACCCGTCAGGAAAATGTTAGTGTACCTGCAGGATGTTATCATCTCCTCATTTCTAGATTATGCTGTGGTGCACATGAGCATCTCTCTTTTACAGTAACTGATGTGTGTGCTAGGTCACAGCAACCCTGTACTGCTTCTGCTGGGTGCTCTTTTAAAATGCGTGCTACCAGGTTTCCCTCCTGCATTCAGATTGCTTTCACTTGGCTTTCAAGACCCCAAACATAGAGATTAATTTAGCTCTCTGGTGATGGCTCTGGACTAGGAACTGGGCAACCTGCTGAGCAATCTCCTGCTGTCAGTGAAATGGCGATGGTGGTGTCCTGCTTTTTGTGCCTGCATGAGAAGAACTTCTCATGAGTGCCAGGTGTTATCACTGCCCTCTGCTTTGATTAAGCCCTAAATGCAAATTGCAAACATATTGCTGTAATTAAGGACATCTGCATTTGCACCCAGTGCATCATGGTGATACCATATGCAAGATGCTTTGAAAACTTGGGACAGAAACACTGATGATCTCCTTCACTCTGAACAGAAGTGCAAGGTTTCTATCCCCCTGCATGAAATAGCAAATTATATTTTTACTACATTAACTTTTGCCCTGGTTGTCTCATTAGCTCATTATTAGACTGCTGGAAGGCACAAAAGAATAGGGTCTTAAAGGCCATTTTTCCTTGTCTAAGCTGCCATCCTTTTCTCTGGCTCACAGCAGGCTTTATATTAAATATACTTAATAGAGCTCCTTCATCATAAGCAGCATTAAAACTAAATTGGAGAGTAGAGGGCATTCTTACAGGAGATATTGCAGTTTAGTGCTCTCAGTCCGTTCCCTGCTACAGGTTCAGGTTATTTAGGTGGTATTTTTCTTCTTCTGGGGTTTTCAAGCCCACCCGTTAAATGATCTGGCTTGGCTTGAATTTCTCTGTGAAATGAACACCGAAGTTGTGCCATCCAGGGTACATGAGGCAGCATTTCTGCTGTCCTGGCATTGCTGCTTGTGTCCCTCAGCTGCTGCTGGTCTTTGACTCTCTTGAAAGTAAAGAGGGACCCAGCCCAGGAGGAGCGACTTGTGAGGACTTGCTGCCCTTCCAGCCGGTGCAAGACTTGTTTTTCTTTAAGCAGACCATGTGCTTGGAGCTATTGGCACCCATGGCACATGCCTGCGTTCTCCAGGAAGCTTTTCTTTTTGTGCATTCCCAGTGGGAAAGCAACAGCTGCAGAATCTGAACTGCCTGGTTCTTGATGCAAGCCAGGGAACTTCATCCTGATATCCTTGTAGTAAGTGTGGGAATATGTGTTTGACTCAAGCAGGGCATCAGAGAAAGAGGTAGTCTTGACCCAGAGAATGTAAGAAGCTCCACGGTTTGCATGATCACCTTGAGGTCAAGCTAGCTCAGTGGGATTGGCTGGGCTGAACTTGGTGGGAAGGCTGTGCTCTCTTGCCGTAAAAACCCAGGCTTAAGGTGTTGTATCTCTGTCTCTACCAGGTTTGGAAGAGGTCTGGTGCGTGGTTCTACAAAGGGCTGCCCAAGTACATCACGCCTTTGAAGAGCAGCAGCAAATCCAGTGAGCAGCACTCACAGCCTTGGCAAAGTGAGCCAGCCATACTGGAGGCAGAGAGCATCGGGACCAGCCGATCCTTCACCTGGGCCAGGGGAAAAGGTTGGTTGTCTGCTTCATGCCCAGGAAGCAGGTGGGGAGAAAGACCTCCCTTCTACTGTGGCTAACAGGATTCAGCTAATAGGGAAGGCTATGCTGGAGGTGAGGGATAGCCCACAAGAGGTGGTGTGTTCCCTACCTGAGTGGTGTTGGAGTTTTTATGCTGTGGTGTATTTTTCAGGTTTCACTGTTATTGTAAGTGCACATTCGTGGCCCAGACTAGCCCCAGTCCTCCTGGACCCTCTTTCCTTCAGTTTACCCTTGCATTCCTCTGTTCCTTGCAGCCCCCACTGTTTTGCTGGGACTGCCAAGGGACAGATGAGCTGCGAAGCAGGTTCCTCTCTGCAGTTGCAGCCCAAAGAGCTGCTCCTGCCAAAATAGACAGCGTGGTACCACCGATGGACATCGTTGTGCAGCCAAGTCTGACAAAAGGCTGGTCTTATTCCCTCTGTCCCTGGGGCTGCTTGCTCCTTGTTTCTGCTGCTCTAAAGAGCACCAGTGGGCAGAAACCTCAGGTCACTTTGAGCTTTGTAATTTAGAAATTACACTGCTGGCATCTCCCTGGGGTCTTCCTGAGTTCTGGAGCAAGTGGGCAGAGATATTGTTCCACACCAGTGGGTAGGAGCAAGCTGATGCTGTCTGTGTCCTTTTGTGGCTGACTCCTCTGAGCAGGTGAGACTGGCAAAGGGTGAAGCTTCTTCTCCAGGCCTGCAGAGGTTTGCAGCACAGAGAGCTCAAGGGTGACTTGTTCTTTAAATGTGTCTCAGAGAAGCTGTTAATCAACAGCCCTGCGCAGGGCTGGGGCCAGAACACTGACAAGCCTGAACGTTTATTAGCTTCAGCGCTCACATCCCTGTTCTTTGAGGTAGACCTTGATTGAAGTAGACTGTAGTGTCACGTGTAGCATCTTGGATCGCTGCTGCGTCAAATCCCATTCACAGCACTGCCTCTTAGGTCTCTTTTTCCCCTTTCTTCCACCTGCCCATCCTGTCATTGCTTGTATGCCCACTCCACTGCTGTGCCTAGAGCCGACTGTGGGGAACAGCAGCTTGGCATTGAGGAGCTGAGTACTCGGGGTCATTAGCACAACAGCGATGGATACTGCAGAATTAAAGCTACTGCCAGTCTGCTTTGATTTCTCTTCATTTTGTTTTGGTATGGATTAGCACAATTGTCTGGCCTCTTTCCCCTTCTGTCTTTTGATATTAGATCCCCTCAATACCAGCAGCATACATTCTTCTACATCAACATTACTGGGAGTGCAGTAGGGAGAAAATAACCTGTTAATAAAGGGGACTCAGGAGACGGGTTTACAAACCTTCTCTTTAGGCCCCTATGAGGAAAGCACTCCCAACCTCACTGTAACTTTTGTAATTAAAGACAAATTAGATCAACAATAGACGGTTGTGTTTTCCTCCAGGAGACGTTTGGAAAAAGAGAGTTGTCTTAGCAAATGAGCTGATTAATGAGGTGTTTTCTGTTCACATGATACACCAAACACTACGAGTCCAAGATGTTGAGCCCAGACCTGGTGTGCTTTTTAGTTCAGTTTTTTTAGCTGAGCTTTGTTCTGGGAGAAGGCCTCCCCCTAAATATTGGCAGGAGCAGAAAAGGAGCAGGTGGAGGACAGCAAAGTGGCCTTTGGTAAGCTTGGATGTGGGTGGTGAGCTTCCTTTCTCCTCGTGCTCTGATATTTGGCTGGCTGCTGTTTTACGGGTTGGATAATACTAATTTATGATTTTATTTTCTGGTTGTTTCTTTCCTTGTTGCCCTTCTCTGTTAGGCCACCTGTCCTCTGGACAGCTTTAAGTGGGCATAGCGGGCTGCAATTCATCTCTGAAGCTGGGAGTTTGTACAGCTCACCCCTCCGTTTAAGTGTGTTTCACCTGCCAGTGCTGGGACTTTGTTGTTTGTCACCCAAAACCTCTGCAGTGTGCAGGGCAGATGCCTTCCCTCGTGGAGATGATATAGCTGTGATATTGCTAGCGTGAATCTGCAACTGGGCCTGGGCTGAGCTTTAAGAGGACGTGGCTGACGAGACAGCCTGCTTTACCTCTGCCTGGCTGATAGCATCTGCCAGCTCCCACCTCGTACACCCTCATCTGAACATGTCCTTTCAGCACGGAGTGAAGCCCTGTTGCTTGTTTGGCAGGATGTTCTCAGGAATGAGCTCTGGCATCTCACATGCCTGCCTCTGACAGGCAGCTCTCAGTAGGGTTTCTGTTATCCTGGCCAGCCGTGTCTAACTCCACCGCTCGCTTCCTGAGGTGCTGAAGGAGCCATCTCTCAGCTATTAAGGGATTCAAGTCAGGTAGGACCAGCACAGACACATCCATGCCCCAGCACAGCCTCTGGAATGCTTGGTAGAGAAGGGTGGCCTTTTGACATCCTCCATGGCAGGAGCTGCCTTTCAGCAGGGATGGGACAAACCTTAAGTGTCCCTTTTTCCCCCTTAAAAGGAAGGGCTCAGTGCCATACTCTGGGTACCAGCTACTCCTGCCACAGAAGGGTGGGAAGGCAGCGGGACTGAGGGACTGCAGGAATGTGCCTCTTGGAATAAAAGGCAAACCCACCAGGAAGAAGTTTTATTTTTACACACCCATTATTCCTCTGGTGCTCGATGATACTGGGATTTGCCGTTGCCTTTAGTTTTTCAGTAATAAACAAGCAGTTGCCATGGGAACCCTGCTATTAGTTAAGGCACAAATGTATTGTCATGGGGAGAATAGCAGTAATATTTCTTGTGCTGGGGAACAGCTCTGCTCCATGTGGTGGAATGTGGGTGGGTTTCTGCACTGGGTCAGGCAGGATGAGGCCGTCAGGGGGTGGGAAGCAATAAGCAGCAGGGCTTCCCTTCTTCCGAACTCTAAGTTCTGCAGAAAAAAATGTAAAGCATCTGGGTGGAAAAAAGAGAAGTGTGATTCCTGAGCTCTTGCACTGTTTGGCATGAGGGCTGCCTGCTGCTCTGCTTGGTCTCTGGTGGTTTCTCCTGTTGCAATGTGCTCTAGTCCTGTTGCCAAGCAATGCAATGTGCTGGGCTCAGTGCTGTCGCTATCAGAGGCAGAGGAGCAGTGGCTGGGCAGGGGGATGTTGTAGGTTCTGTGTGCTGGAGTCTAAATCCTGAGTGATGGAGCAGAGAGGAGAGTGCTGGGGTACATCAAGTACTTTGCAGGTCGTCGAGGGGATCATCCAACTTCTCTACAGCTTTGGGCAATGCCAAAGCTGCAAGCGTGCTGCTTCTAAAAGGGAGAGCAGTTGAGTTCAGTCCCCTCCTCCTGCTTGGAGATGGCCATGCAACTGTGATCCATGCTGGTTATGATCTAGTATAGAAACTGCGCTGAAAGAGACACTTGGTTTGTAACAAAGCTCTTCATCTCCCAGCCATCTGGCTGCTGCCAGAGGGATTCAGGCTCTTGATGAGTGACCCATTCCCTGTGGGAATACTGCTTTTCTTGCAAGTTTTATCTGTGCATATTTTTTATGAGCTTTTTTTCAGTCAGCTGGATATTGAGGGATAAATCTGTTATGTTCTCTCAAACTACAGCTGTCCAATGACTCTTATTGATATATCAGCAACTGCTGGAACACCAGATTTATGACTTCTGGGCTCTGGAAAGTGCCAGCAGAAGGTCTGGGATCTTTGGGAGAAAAATTACCTTAAAGGGAATTATTGGTACAGTGGGTAAAATACACTCTTATTGGCAGTAGAGAAAACGAGAGCAGACAGGGCTGCTCCTGTGGTGCAAGTGCCTTTGTGTCATTAATATTTTCTTCCTCTTGTGCTGGTCCTCTCTGACCTGCTGAATGACATAAAGGGAGGCACCTAAAGTCACCTCCACTGATTCACTGGGGCCTTCTCCAAATAAATCCTGATTTCCAGAATTTTTAAAGGATTCATGGAGGAAGAAGCTGTTGTAAGGGGATGGATTTTACGAATCCAGAAGGCCAGAAAAGGATCATGACCAAGCACAACAGGAGCGTATTTTCTGAGGGTATTGGGCAATGGAATGGTCAGAATGATTCTCACATCTGAGATTTGGATTTTATAGCAGAAATATACATACTGGTTTGTCTGGTTTGTGTTATATCTCTTTTTTATTTATAGTATTTATATATAATTCCCCACCTCTCCCAGGGAGCTTTAGGGAAGTGGTGAACCTGTCTTTAAGATGGCAAAGCCCAAAGCCAAACCTTTGCTTTGAGGATGCTTAGCAAGAAATGAAGACACCCCCAGCTTGTACCAGGGCTTTGCTCTGTGCCTGGCTCAACTCCACAGCCCCTTTCACTGCAGGTAAAAGGTCCCATTCCTGATGGTACCAGCAGGGGAAGGCTGTGGATGCAGGAGGAGCCGATTCCCTGGGAAGGCTGTGCAGGCAGTGAGGCAGCTTCCCAGCAGTACGGTGTGCATGGGGAGCTGCCTGCCACAGCAACTTCAGTAACGCTTTGCAATAACTCTGGGAGCCAGCTTTAATATCCTCAGAGATGTTAACTCCAGCAAAGTGCTATTTTAGCTATTAATATTTATTTTTTTAATAAAATATTTTGTGTAGTACAGATCGCTGCCTGAATACAGGAGCATCTGCAGAAGTCTTTGCCAGAAGTGTTTGACAGCTTGTGTTTGCCTTTGCAAGGGGAGGGGTACCCATCGTCTTGCCTTGGGCAGAGTTAAAAGGTTTGTAGCGCTGTGAACTGCATGTAGTGAATTTTAGGGCTGGTACAGAGATGAACTGACAGCCTTCTTTGCTACCCTGTGCTTGTCATGCTGTACCACTGCACCCACATCTCTCCTGCACCTGGCAAGTTGGTTACGTGGCATGGGGGCAAGGTGGTTTGTTCAGTACCAAAACAGGGAACTGATTTCTCATGTGAACGTGAGCATATATATACATACTGATGAATATTAAGAAATAGTTGGGGCTTCCTTTTTCTACAGTAGAGGCTGTAGGTTGCAGTGTTGCCTACTCCGTATCCCACGTGAGCCAATATTGTATTTTCTGTAAGGAATTGTGACCCATTGTTTGAAATGGCTTCTGAGCTACCAGGAGAGCTGGTATCTGCCTTGGTCAGACAGAGAAATGCTGTAGATGCAATCCCTCAAACAAAGGACAGTTGTTTTCCCATTACCTTCCTCCTCAGCCCCACCATTTCTGTTCTGAGATCAGGCCATTGTAAAAATCGAGGAGCTGGAAAAACGCCTTTCTCATTTTACTCAGAGCAGCTGGCAGTTTTCTGTTGCACAGGTGTATGCTGGAGAGGTGCTTGCATAATTTCATGGAAAGTGGAAATAATTTGCCAATTTGGGAAGTTTTGTTTGGCAAAATGAGGCTCGCTGCGCTCCTGTGGAAACTATGGAGTGTGGAAAGCATCAGGATTATGGCCAGGAGAAATAAAAATGTGGCCTTGAAAGGGGGGAACTGTCTGCTTGAGGAAGGGGAGGGCCTCTTGCCTTTCAAGCCTTGAGAGTATAAGAGTAATACAGCTCTGGGCAGTGTGCTGACAGGGATAAGTGCTGAATGGATGATGAGCTAATAACACAGGTTCTTTGTGTAATCACTGCAGGGTTTTTTATTTGACGTGCTCAGTTTTATTTGGTGTTTTCCTCATAGATCCTGGAGCATCCACGAAGGCCCTGCCACACTTGAAATGCAGCTTGGAGGAAGACAGCCCCTCTCCCCGCATAACTCAATCATGGATGCTCTTACAGTGCAGCCAGGACCCGTCCACCTGCAGCTGAGCAGAAACCAGCCTTGTAGCCAGCCCTTAGCATGTTGTAGCAGATGGCAAACATCAGGAGGAGGAGTGCTTGCTGGCATGCTGACATGGGGATCAGTGGGAGCATAGCCCAGTTCCCAGACCAGCCACACTGCAGGGCTCTTGGCTTTGCAGCAGGGAGCTTTGGGCAGTGAAGCACAGCACAGAAGCAGTGTGATCTGCATGGCCCCAGTCAGGTTTAGCAAAGCAGCACTGGTGGTGTGTGTGTCTGCTTCAGGTGCTGCACCACTGGAATGTGTGCAGTAGAGTAATAAATCAGCTGTAAAAAGTAAAAGCACATCGTGTTTAAGAGGAGGAGTGAACAGCTGTGGGGGAGCTGCAGGTAGGGCTCCTTTTGGAGAGGGAAAATGTGATCAGCGAGTCAGCATTAGTTCATGTTTTATTTGGATCCATCTGGCACCCTCTTTTCTACGTGTTATGAACATTGTGAATAACTGTCTCTCTCCTCCTCCTGATCTTCTCTGCAGTGGTTTCTAGTGACAGTGAGAGCGACTCAGAGTTCAGTTCCTCCAGCCTGGATGATAAGCCCTCACCTGCAGGGTCAAAAGGCTCACAAGGCGGAAAGCAACAAGCAGGACTAGGTGAGGAGTTGGTTTTCCTTGTGGCTGTAGGGTGGGAAGTGTAAAGTGCTTAAATATTTGGTTCTAGGCACTGTGGGTTTTGGCTCAGCCACTTGCCTGCCCTACGCTGGTGCAGCCCACTGGCTGTAGCTGTGCCAGGTGAGGATCTGATCCTTTCTCACTGGAATAGCATCAATAGGTCAAACAGCTCCTGGGTTGCTCCACTGCCTGCAGCCTTTCATGGTCTGCCCTTGCAGTTGGGAGCTACTGCAGGTTACCTGGCAGCACATCTCCAGCCAGCTCCTCACTCCTGACTTTATAGCGCTGGGATCACCACTGCTGTTTTAGAGTAGAGCACATGAAGTGGGTATTGATCCTCTTCCTGAGGGTGTCTGGCTGGGAATGGGGAGGCTCTTGGGAGCACCCACTTCTCTGTCCCCCAGCAGCATCTCTCTGTTGTGTACCCACAGCACCCCTCAGGGAGCCCAGCCGGGGCAAGGTGCTGGGGAGCACCCACTCCCCAAGCCTGTCAGGGAGCCGCAGCAGTCTGGGCAGCGAGCAGGGGGCTGACCCCAGTGCCACGGAGAGCTGCCACAGTGACCAGCCAGCCGATGGGCGAGACAGCGATGCCGGCAGCAGAGTCCCTGGTAAGCTGAACCTCGTCTCTGGGCATATCCATGCTTTGGGGGCTTACTTGCTTTGAAGCACAGCTTTCTCAGCTGCACACCTGGCAAAGCTGCAGCCCAGGATCACCTTTCCCTGCTGTTTTTCTCATGGTAGATGCTGTCACAACATTACAGCTCACTCCTTCCCTCTCCCCTGAGTGCAGGATTATTCTGCAACATGAGTAATTGTCTGAGGTGGGAGCTGCCTACACCCACCTCCAAGAGCAGTGGTAGACTGAGTCTTTGTCCCAGCCAAGGCCCCGAGCTTCTGTCTGCCCTGCAGAGGCAGCAGAACTGATTGAGCATTTACTGAAGGAAAGCAGAAGTCCAACAGCTTTATGAGACTGGATAAAAATGTTCCTAATGGTAGATGGCTCTTAAAGCCAAGAATGGCTCTTCCCAGAACTCTGCAGTGCAAGAAAAAGACACTTTTCCCCCCCCCTCAACAACCTTGGAACAATTAAGTGACTGTGAGAGTAGAGGCTGCTATCAGATCTGATCTGGAGCAGCTGAAAGAGATGCAAATGTGTTCTCTCTGCAGCTCCCACTAATCTAGTCAATAACCCCTTAAGTTATCGTTTAGTGCCGCTCTCTCCAGAGTGTTCCTGCTGCCCTGTGAGCTGCCGCTCCTTTTGTTCCTGAGCCTGTTTTATGCTTTGCATGTTGAGGCGTAAATTGGATTAGAGAGAGCAGGTTTATCCTCAAGTGTAACATGGAGTCACCGTCCCCCCTCCCCACGCTTCCCGCTAGAAACAGCCAGCATAAAATTGTTTCTCTGCTCTTCCCTCCCTCCCCAAAGTTTCAGGCATTTGCAGTTTTCTTTAATTCTTGGTTTTGCAAAGCAAATCAGATGAGTGATACTTCTGCTCTGTCTGTCATCTTACTGGATTATAGTGCTGTCCTGGATGGGGTGTTTTATTTTAAGTCCCTGTTGGCTGTAGCATTAATGACGTCCAATTGCTGTTGTGTGTTGGCTCTGGTAGCTGCTGAGCAGAGCTGCAGATTGTCCTGCAGGATTGAAGTGAGTGGTGGTGGATAGCAGGTGTGACCAGAGAAGCTGTGGATGCCCCATCCCTGGCAGTGTTCAAGGCCAGGCTGGACGGGGTTTGAAGCAACGTGGTCTAGTGGAAAGTGTCCCTGCCCATGGCAGGGGTTGTAATTGTTTTAGCTTTAAGGTCCCTTCCAACCCAAACCATTATAGGATTCTGTGACCCCTTTGGTGCTTTTTGTGCTGGTGCTTCATGGCCATGCTGAAGTCTGAATGGATGCACACCTCTGAACCATGTGTGTGTACAGCACTTAGCACTTTGGAGCTTTCCTGCCAGCTGTTGGAACTAACTGCTGCCTAGCCATGGCAGTGCAAACAATATCTCTAGAGGCAAAAAAAATGCCTTTTTGCTGCTAAAAACCTTGTATGCAAAATTTGGCAGAAGGGGTCAGTGCTTTCCAGTGGGATCTCTCCTTGCTAGGCAGGGGAGAGCTAAAAATGACAGGCAGCATGGACATAGATTTAAAAAATGAAAACTGTAGCAGTCTCATGAGCCCAGTTATAATAGTCCCTGAGATGTAAGAGAGGATCTTGCTGAGGAAAAGGTTAAGCGAGGTTGGCTGACTAGAGAGTATCTGTAAAGGTCTTCATTATGTCTGGAGTCATTTATTTCCCAGTCTTCCTGCAGAAGAGGCTACTTTGTTCAGAGATGGTGCTTGCAGCAGGGAGTCGGTAGGGTAGCCTTGGTAGGAGGGCTCCATGGCCCCAGAGCCAGGGGAAGGGGAGGCAGGAAGGCTGCAGTGAGTACTTCTGCTGACATGTGCTTGGGAGAGAATGGAGCTGGTGGTGCTTGCAGTCGGCAGGTACAGGCTTGGGAGCTGATGGAGGGTGGCTATGGGCAGGGTTCTCTGCGTTGTGTCACATCAGGAACCAGCCACCAGACGAACATCCTCCTGGGCCAGGGAGCTGCCTTGGGCTTGCAGAGAGTTAGGTGGCACTATGACTGTGGCGCTGTGACCACAGGAGGTGGCAGGATGGGCTGCAGGGTGGCTGGCTTGTCTTTGAGCCTGTCCTGTGTACAGCAACATGGGTGCCTGTGAGAGCAGCCATAGCGACTCTACCAAAGGTCTCTGCAAGGAGTTGAAGCTGGAACCTGTGCTGGTGTTATGTTTGCCATGGCTGCATGCTCTGTCCCACGGTGTGGGTCACCTTCAGCACTTCAAGATGGGGAGGAGAGAGGGAAAGTGAGTTTGTTTTCCCTCTGATGTATTTGGGATGTGGCGTTGCCTCCGTGCAGTGAGTGAACAGCAGGGGCAAGCATGGTCAGTGTTCATCTACTCTGAGAGCACTTAATGTGCCCAGCTGGAGAGGTGCTGCCACAATGTGATCTCTACAGCAAACTATTGACAATCATGATCCATTACATACTGAATCTAGTAAGGAGCATTATGCAGTGATAGAAGTTGTGTGGCCTCATGTTCCATGGAACTCTGTAACAGGTGTTTTGAGCAGATCAAACATCCAGGAGGCTGCAGTACTGAATGCCCCCATGCTTTGCCAGGGGCCTGGCAAGAGCAGAAAATAAAGAGAAGAGCAAAACCAGTGCTGTAGTACCCTAGGAAGTGTCCTGCTTTGCAGAGGGGTTCATGTGCTTTGGGATGCTGGAGGTCTGAGATGTGGAAATGCTGGGAGCCTCAGGACTCGTGGCAGTGCCTCTCACCATCTTTAGATTAGAGCTTCGTCTGTCTGTGAGAGGCTTTTCATGATGGGTTCCTCTGGATGCCACTGGTTGCCAAAAAGCAGAGGCTCCTTTTGCTGTTCATCTCTTTAACAAGCTGGGGAGGCGACGTGTGCTGTATGTCACAACTGGCATCTTTACTGCGCATCTCCCTGCCTGTGGGACAGTCCCTGTGCTCTGCTCTGACCCAAAAGCAGAGCAAGGGGCAAAGATCCTTTCTTACTTAAAGTGCTGATCCTTACCTGCAGAATAGGGATGTTAAAAGGAGGTTATTGTTATCACTTTTCTGAAAAGCTCTGTAACTTTATAACACTGTGCTGGGAGCAATTTTTGCTTCATATTAGCACCTCCGGTGGTGTTCTACCAGTGACTTTCTTTTCACTTCTTGTTCTCACCTATGCTCTAATTCTGCTCTCAAGTGTGACTTTGCAGAACACTTTAGCATCCTTAAATCCTAGCCCACAGCCAGAACAGGGAATTAGAGAGTGGTACGGCAGATGCAGCTGCTGTCGTAGTCCTTAGCTCTTTAAGCCTGAAGGCCAAGACGACAGCATGGTCATGCGGCCAAGGGGAAACAAGGAGCTATTAAGAAGAGTTTGTAGATTTCCAGTGTGTTACTCCGGCTGGAGTTTGGTGAGGCAGATAATGATGCCTGGGGTTTGTCATAAAATGACTCATTGTCAGAGCTGCATTGGGATTTAGGCAACCTCAGCCCATGAGCCGAAGTTTCAGAAGACAGTGGTGAGCTGAGAGGCTGCCAATTGTTTTCCTTTTTCCTACTATCTGCCTTCAAACCCTTTCAAAAGCATTGTTTTCTGAGGGTCTGGTGTTTCTTCTTCTGAAGTTCCAGTTCTTGGAGGTGCCCGCTCTGACATGGTAGCTGTTAAAAGGAAGGTCATGTGCTGGTTTTCCTGGAGAATGTTTTATTGTAAAGAGAATTAAATTTGCACACAGGAAAGAAGCACAATCTTCCTTTTCCCCCTTACCCTCAGCTAGGGAGGTGACTCACCTTGTTCTGGCTGTATAGCTGGTGTGTAAAGAGATGCCTCAGTTAAAAAAAGAGCAAAATCCTCAGTATTGCTAATTATGATATTTTTAATAAAGGAAGAGAATGTTAATTAAAGAAATTGTCAGTATGTTGTAGTGGTTTTCATTTGCCCATGGAGAGCTTTTACTGGCAGTAACCTCTTTGAGCTTGGACCTGGCTGCTGCAGGGCATAAACTGAACAGAAAAAGGCACCTCTTCTCAGATCAGTAGCAAGTTCTACTTCAGTGGGTCCAGTTAATGGGGTCCTCGGTGTCTTCTCTTGCTTCAGGAGCAGGTCAGTCCAATCCTGTTTGGTATTCTGTGGGTCACCTGAACAGCTTGCTGGTAGGGAATGGTGAATGAGCTTGGCACGGATTCTGGGGCTAGAGAAGGCTCTGAATTGTGCTTCAAAGAGAAGGTTTGAGAACAGCCACAAGATACTCTAATTAATGAGCAGCATACTCTGAGCACAAATCACAGTCTCCACATCTCTGCTTGTTTGCCAATGTGTTGTCTAAATCATTAATACTTTTAAGAGTGGTACAGCAGCTGGCAGTTAAACAGAGCCATGTTAAACAGTAGTGGTGTTGGGTCTGGGAGCTGAGAGGATAATGGCAGTACCTGATGGGGTATAAGAAACATCTCGGCTTGCAATCACAGCATGAGACCAGCTGGAAGGACCTCCAGAAGTGGTCATCAGGTCCAGCCTGGCCTCTTCTCCCAGGGTGCTAAAGCTGCAGCTTCTGGATGCCTCCCTTTGGCTGCTTGCTTTGTAGCTGTCATGCTGGGAGAGGCTGAGCAGAGATGAGATAAGGGCCTGAAGCTGAGAGAGATGGGCAGGAAATACTGCTTCAATCTCTTTTAATTTGGGGAGATTTATGCCCCATCTTTCACAAATTGACTAGATTTAGAAATGAGGTGGTGCCACTCTCTCTGTGGCTCAGTGCCTACCCGGCTGGAGTATGCATCAACTTTTGCTCATAAATATGCAAGCTGTTAATACATGACAGGCAGAGCCATTCTGCATTATTTTTGTGGCAGGATATTCTCAGGACATCTTTGAAGTTCAAGCATGAACTTCTTTTTTTCCTTCCATTCTGTTTCACAAATGTCTCTTTGCTCCCTCAGGAATGATGAGGAGGTAACATTTTGCTTCAGTGGGTCTAACTACTCCATTCCGCATAGGAAAAAAAATTGTCCTAACAGTAATTAGGCTCCGAATGGGAGAGTAATTTCTTTAATGACTTTCTTCAAGGCAGTCTTTGGGGAGTTGACTTTTGTTTTCCTGCACTTGGTGAGAAAGTTGCTTAAATGTTTTCAGACTGCTCGATCCCTCCTCCATGTGAGCTACAGCCAAACAGCTTAGGGCTGGCTTTGCACCACAGTGGAATAGGTGGGTAACCACACAAGGGAGCTGTGCTCGCAACTCCTCCTCTTCTTCCTTCTGCCTTCAGCCTCTGCCTGCACTGAGGGAACAGGTTAGGAAGGAAGAGTAGTCAGATGTGGAGGGGAGACCTTCACCCACAGCCACCGTCTCCCTCCAAGCCTCTGCCTCCTGCACTGGCTACCTCATCAATCTTTGAGCACTGCTGTTTGTCCTCTCCCTTTGAAGCTTTCTGCCACTGCCACAGAATTGAGTTTTCCTACTGCCAAGGAGGATGAGTTGTCCCTGTTCCACAAAGTTAAAAAATTGAATTGTGCCTCCATGCCTCAGAAGCTTTGAGCTGTCTCTGCCTCCTGGTATTGGTACTGCAATAAATACCTCCTGTATTTATAAGTAAAGCATGATTTTGGGTAGTGACAGCATTAGGAAATGATTTAAGGTTTGCATTCTAGATGAAATGCATTTGTAAATATTAACCTCAAAAGAAGCATATGCTCCTTGCATGTTCTAAGGAATTAAAATATTTTTGTTCTCAAAAAGTGGTGGAACCAAAACATTTTCAGCTTTTTTAAGTCAGCCTTGAATTTAAAGTGAATAAAGGCTCAAGTACCTAAAAATAAATTACTTTCACTATTTCTGTAATTCTTTATGGAGTTTTAAATTGAAGACTTTTCCCTTGAAAATAGAGGAATGACAAAGACTCGTTCTCTTGCCACTTTCACTCAATATATCTGGAAACAAGTCTGCTGCTGAAGATGAAAATCCTATTTTTGTGCCTTCTTTCACATTGCAGAGGTTTGTGCTTTGGTCTTTGATCAACCAGCCTGTCTGGCCTCCTGCCCCCATGTCCTTAGACTTATTCTCTGCTTTTTGCAATACTTCTACTCCTTATGCTTTCCAGCTTTCTATTCAGCATTTTGCACAAAGCACTGAGGGCAATAGTTGATGTCATCTGTCAAAACAACGCATAAAGGAAAGAGCATGGGAAGTCAGTATTATAGAATCATATGGAAGTTAAAAATCTGGATTTTGGAGTCTTTATAAACACTTTGAGAGATTTTATGGCTCAGGAGGTTATCTTTCAACTGGGACATCAGCCAGTAGCCAGTGGGAGGAATCTGCAGGACTCCCTGTGCCTTAAACACTTCACATGGATGCAGTGACTGGAAAAATCCCGTCTTTTTTCTGGGAGTGAACATAATTTGTGTCTCCTTCAGTTCAAAGAAGGTGGAGAGAAGTTAGCACTGACCCACTGCTGTCTTAGAGCACTCCACATTGCCAGCCCCGCATTTCACCCTGTGCACTGGAAGCAGCATGTCCCAGCAGAAGCTGAGTTTCACCAGGGGCTGCTGCAGTGATTAGCTCAGGTTTGTTTAGCTGACGTGAGCTAGAGTACCTTCTGCAGCAGAGCATTGCTATCCTGCACCCATCCCCAGCCATGGCAGGGACTGCATTCTGCCATGGCTCCTGTCTATGGCCAGGCACATGGAGAGCAGGAAGATCCTGTGGAGGACCTGCTGCTCTGTGGCACATAGATGTTGTTCACCTGGATTGGAAACCTCAGAGCTGAGGCTTGGCTTTCTGTCTGACTTGGCCCTTTGAGGGAGGCATACACCAGAGGACCAATTCTAACAGTACAATTCCTTCTTTCTCCTCCTTTCCTCATTTCTTTCCCCTGTCTTTTCTTTCTTTAATAAAGCTTAATGGGCCCTGACTGCTGACAGAGTGTGGAGTAATGATGCATAGACTTTCTGTTCGTTATTATTTTTAGGAAGCTCTTAAAATGGCACTGAGCATGTAAAAGAAACGTAAAATAATAACTTCGTCAAGTCCTCTCCCCTTCACTGCTTTCCAAACAAAACTTCTGTCTTTATGTATTTTGAAGGCAAACGGTGCATCCACACCAGAACACGACGCTGATGGAGGTGAAGATGGAGCTGCTTTGCCTGGATCCAACGCTTGCCCCTTGCCCATTCCTGTAGACCTCACTCCAGACAACAACTGCTGCTGCTGGTGACTTCATGATGCTCTTGCACAGGCATTAGCAACACGATGGCACCTAGGGAAGCACTTGCCTGTCCTCTCTGCCTCACTGACTTGGTTTATGGTTTGGTCTGATTTCCCCTTCTGCTGACTGACTTGCACTTCGGGGTGCTGCTCAGAAAAGGGTACTGTGCTGTGCAGTGCTGCCATGGGGTCCAGACCCATGTTTCTTGGAAGGGATGCACAAAGTGTGTTCACAGGAGCTGAAGAAATATGTGCTGCCTCTGCTGTTCCTGGCTTGTCAAGCCCATCTCTGGGTTCGTTTCCTGGTTTGCAGTCTGGCTTTGCAATCTTCAGAAGAAAGGGAAATTCACCCCTATATCCCTGAAAAGAGGTGTGAGGAAACTGCAGCCCTTCTACTGCTTCTCAGCCCAGGGGTGAATTTCCCTCTGTGAGCCAAAAGGGTGAGACTAGGGCTTTGATTTGCACTTGACTCCATGGGACCAGGGTGTTAACCCTTGTGTTTCTTGTCATTGTTGTTCTGGTTTGATAGGAGTTTGGTGGGGGCATCCTGAGTCAGCTGGCGAAGTCATGCTCCTGTTCGCTTCCACTGACATCTCTGTGATAGGGCTGTCTGCTCAGGGCGGCACTTCAGGTTGTAAAGAAACACTCAAAGTTTACTGTGAAGTTTTTGGTCCTCCTGGCTGTGCACTGGCTTGTGTGTCCTGTGGTGGTGCTTTGCCAGTGGGATCATGGGCATTGCGTGTGTGCTGCATCTCCTGGTGTGAGAATGCCCACCGCCCCATGGCGCACTGGCTACCTTTGTGTGTCCAAATAGGATAAAAGCTTTCAAATTACTTTATCTTGTTAAGCAGTACAGATTCTCCTTCCACATGCATACCTTTTCACCTCTTGCATTAACAGGAGCCTTTGTTTTACCTTTTTCCTGCAAGTCTTGAGCATCTGGCTGACTGTGATGGTATCATCATGAGTCAGGCTGTAGAAAGCTGTGTGCCCTGGTCCTGCTTATTCTCCAGGATGGACAATATCCCTCTAAGGCCTGACAGATGAGAAAAATTAAATTACCTGACATCTCTTGAGCAATTAGATCTTCGAAGGCCTGAACAAAACCCACATTAAGCAAGTAGGAGTCTGTGGATTTTATTAAATGCTTTCGATCTGACCTGTCTTTAGCAGAATAAACAAAGGATTTCAAAAAATTCCTTCTGAAATCATGGATTTAAAGGCAATTTGTGCCTGTTAATGTCAGCCTTTTCCTTTGGTTATTACTCCTTTGTTTTGTTCTCCTTTGCAGGTGGGTGCTTTGTGGTACATGCTCTTACAAATGGCTGCAGTATGAAGATAAATGAGATTGGGTGTTGGAACACTCTAACAGGAGATTGGAAATCAATCCTTGACTTCCCTTCTAAATGACCATGGTCCAACAGAGGAACATTCCCTTACTGCTTTTCCCGTTACCATGCTATGGCAGGTTGCTGGGAAATTCCTTCCAGCTCTTCTTCTGTGATCTGTTTCTACCCTTTGAAAAATGAAAACAAAACTGGATGATGTGGGCTCTTTGAGATGACATGGGCTCTTTGAGGTGACATAAAGAGAAGCCACACTGGTGTGGAAGAGAGCAAGGGATGAGGTTGTACTCCACTGAGAGATGCTTTATGTTGTGGTCTGTGTTTAAACCTGGCCATTGAGACACAACCAGCAGCTTCTCTGAAAGGGGTAATGCCAAAATTATTTCAGAAAAAGTAAATCCAAAAGTCAGCTTTTGCTGAGATGCTGGTGTGATTTCTGAGCTGAAGCTGTGCTGTTTCTTCTGTGAGCTGTAGGGTCTTCAATTTCAGAAGTGTTTTGCCACCAAAATAAGTCCTGTTTTGCCTTGGAGCTTTTGACAGTCCTACTGAGGCTGTCTTGCTCACACTGTCATTACTGCAGTGCTTCAGACAGTCTGGCCTGACAGCTTAAGTTAATTCTATAGAAGAAGGAGAAGGAAAAAGACACTTAAAAATTGATTCAGTTTTCTTTAAACCTGTTACTTTCTCATAAAAAACTACACTGGAGTTGGAAAGAGTTTTTAAACTGGAGCATGTAATTTCAAACTCTTATCCTTCATTCCTGGACAGTGCAGGCAGGTCTGCTGTGTTTTCACTCCCACTCTTACTTCCCACAGACTCTACCACTGTGGGTTGCCAGCTCTGCACAGGAACCTGGTAATCCTTGCTGGCTTACTGTGGTGCTTTGAGCTATGGGTTTGGGTTTTAACTGAGACTAGGTTTTCTATAAACAATGTCAGGGATAAATCTGGGAATGCTTTTGTACCAGTGAGACTAGAAACTTCTTACCTCTATATTTTACCTCCATGAAGTAGTCTCGCGAGTTCAAACCAGAACTGTTCAGTCATCTGTGGAAAAACTTCTTGTGGATTGAGGGAAGGATACAGCTCAGGAGAATGTGATCTAGCCACATGTGAATGTGATGAAGGGACAGCAGTAGGTCATATTTGCTATTAAAGACCACTTTTCCCTTTGTCGCATCTCTCTTGGTTGTGTTTTGTAGCTTTCATTGGAATATTGTCCTAAACCCCTACCATTTGTCAACCTTTTGAGTTGACTCAAGATAGACAAGAAGGGCTCAGTGAATAGTGCTTAGTCTGCTCTTGTCATTTGTGTTTCTTGTATTACTTTGTTGTTCTTGTCTCCATCCCCTACAACTTTTATGTAGTGTATTACTACTGGAAACAATAAAGCTTTGGCTCAGTAACAACTGCTTGCCATTCTTGAAACAGTGAAAAGTTTTTTTCCATTCCCAGGTTGCAGATACTCTACAAATCCTTGGGCTGGCTCCAGCAAGGAAAGAAAATGATCCAGCCAGTGGAATGGTGATTCACGTGGCTGGAGCATAATTGAATTCTGCACTTGAAAGTCATCTTTTGTCTTGCCTCTCTTTAGTACCTTGTGGTGGCAATGGCAGGGGAGCACAGGAGCACTCCTCAGCCCCTCTGTGGAAGGTGTTCCACACTGTAACCGCTTAGGATAAAGCAGCACTGATTGCCACTCTGTCAAGTGCTGTCCCCACAGCCTTGCTCAGGTTTGACATTTGGGGTCCATTTAGCTTTGTCTACAGTGAAGCGTCTCAGCATTGTTCACCAAGAGTGTGCAGCCCTGGCTGTTCAGCGTTCTCTTCCACTTGGCATTCAGCTTCAAGGTTTCAAATGGCTTTTTAATCTGTTTTTGCTTTTCCCATTTTAAAGAGCCTTGATAATTGCTGTTGGGATTGTTTTGCTGGGGAGCTGCCATTAGTCCAAGGATGGAGTGTGTCAAGGACTAACCATCTCTTACATTGTTCCTTCTCTCCTCCGCTTGCCATGACAACAGCCAGTACAAGGGAAAGTCAACTGTGGGATCTCTCTGAGTCAAAAAACACTGGCCATGAATTGCCAAGTTGCCATGTTTGCTTTTTGCAGCTATAGTTTGAGGGGAAAGGGGTTGCTTTCTCTGGGGGAGCTGTGCATAGTACTTCAACATAGCTGAAGCAAATGGGCTACCAGCTGGTGTTTAGACAATGTGTTTCTGGCCATTACTGAATCGGTCAGCAAAGGCCCTTGGACTATCATCTGGAGTGTTTGGACAGTGACCCAAAATGGCAGATAACCTCTGCAGATGGCTGAAGTTCACCTGTAAAATGAAACTTAGCAGCAGTTGCTCTTCTCTCCTCCCTAAGCCTCCCAGATGTTCCCTTCCAGGGGAGAGGTCTCGTGGCAGCAATGTCTCACCAGCCCACCTCTCCCATTTCTTCCTGCTGCCACTCCCATCGCTTTGTTCTTCTACATGATGGAGACTGCTTTTCTGATCATAACGCCTTGTTTCCACTGGTAGGTGTGATTGGCAAAGAATTCAGGGAAGTGTTCTGGAAGGACTGATGATACTTTGAGCAGGTGCAGGATGGCAGGTGACAGGTAAGCAACTTGGAAAAGTTTAATCTTGAGCTGCTCATTCAGATTCCCTCCTGACCGTTGCTTCTTACTAGCAGTGTATTCAGGTAGTGCTAGAAATGCCTGCGATGATGAGGAGGCACGAGATGAGGATTTTTCTGTCTAGCTTCATAGCAGTGCAGACATGAACACAATGCGTGCTGCCTGCCGTCCTTGTACACCCCTGCCCTGCACCTTTCTCCCTGCACAAATATTTCCTCGTTACCTTCATAGCAAAACGTGAAAGGAGCCAGCCCCATGGCTGGTGTAATGCACTGCTGTAGCCTGCGTCCTGCTGCCAAGCAGCCCTTAAGATGTCCATGAGCACCCAAGAGTGCTACTCTGATCAGTGCCTGGGAGCTGCACATTTGAGGGATGAATTCAGATCCCTTCGAGGAGTGCTATACACACTCACCTCCATGCTTTGCAGAGGTTCTGTGGGTTTGTTTGAAGGCATCCGCTGTGTTTCCTTTTCTTTCCACTGATTTCTGTCTGGCACTGGAAGCTGTTTGCAAAATCTTGGAGGGATTGTTGCTCTTGTGTTCCCTCTCTGGAATGAGTGCCTCTACGTGGTGCATCTGTATTTTGCCAGGAAGGATGGATTGTGGTTTTAAAGTATTTTTGTTGTTTGGTTTAACAGCAACTGTTGTGCTCTGAGCCCTCTCTTGGCCACCAGCTATAAGCTGTTTACTCCTAGATGCTCCCCAGGTACTCTGTAGTTGACCAAATGAAGCAAACAGGTGTCACCACCTCCCTTTTCTCATCAAGTCTGTTACCAGCCTAATCACTATAAGCAGTTATTATCTGGGGCTGGAGACTTGCAGCTAATCAGAGCCTTATCAGGGCCATCTGGGCAAGGGGTGTTGGCAGAGACACCTTCCCCCTCCTGAGTGTGAATGACTTCTGCTTTCACACTAATTATCACAGTGGTGTGGCCACTTTTCATTATTTGCAATTATACCCCTCCCCTCCTGCTGCTCTGAACCATCCCACTGGAGTAACCACTTATTCAGGAGCTGCCCTGGAGCAGCCACATTCTGGGCTTGGGTTTGGGGGCTGGATTTTGGAGCTGCATGGAGAGATCACAGCTCTGAGACTGGTCCTTGATTTCCAGTGCTGCTTTGCTTTGTACTAACAGCCCTGCACCATGTCCCCCAGATCAGCTGTTGGTGCTGGCTCTGTGCTGGATATTTCTGAGGTTCATTCACCCCCAAAAGAATCCACAGACTGATACATACCCAGCCCCTGGACAAGGACAGCAGCTGTATCACTGCGAGTGGCTGTGCCCAGCATTATTTATATGTCTACTAGTGAAGCCAAG